GCTCTGTACCAGACTGGAATAAACCCCGGCAAACCCCATCTTCTCCAGCTCTGTACCAGACTGGAATAAACCCCGGCAAACCCCATCTTCTCCAGCTCTGTACCAGACTGGAATAAACCCCGGCAAACCCCATCTTCTCCAGCTCTGTACCAGACTGGAATAAACCCCGGCAAACCCCATCTTCTCCAGCTCTGTACCAGACTGGAATAAACCCCGGCAAACCCCATCTTCTCCAGCTCTATACCAGACTGGAATAAACCCCGGCAAACCCCATCTTCTCCAGCTCTGTACCAGACTGGAATAAACCCCGGCAAACCCCATCTTCTCCAGCTCTGTACCAGACTGGAATAAACCCCGGCAAACCCCATCTTCTCCAGCTCTGTACCAGACTGGAATAAACCCCGGCAAACCCCATCTTCTCCAGCTCTGTACCAGACTGGAATAAACCCCGGCAAACCCCATCTTCTCCAGCTCTGTACCAGACTGGAATAAACCCCGGCAAACCCCCATCTTCTCCAGCTCTATACCAGACTGGAATAAACCCCGGCAAACCCCATCTTCTCCAGCTCTGTACCAGACTGGAATAAACCCCGGCAAACCCCATCTTCTCCAGCTCTGTACCAGACTGGAATAAACCCCGGCAAACCCCATCTTCTCCAGCTCTGTACCAGACTGGAATAAACCCCGGCAAACCCCATCTTCTCCAGCTCTGTACCAGACTGGAATAAACCCCGGCAAACCCCATCTTCTCCAGCTCTGTACCAGACTGGAATAAACCCCGGCAAACCCCATCTTCTCCAGCTCTGTACCAGACTGGAATAAACCCCGGCAAACCCCATCTTCTCCAGCTCTGTACCAGACTGGAATAAACCCCGGCAAACCCCATCTTCTCCAGCTCTGTACCAGACTGGAATAAACCCCGGCAAACCCCATCTTCTCCAGCTCTATACCAGACTGGAATAAACCCCGGCAAACCCCATCTTCTCCAGCTCTGTACCAGACTGGAATAAACCCCGGCAAACCCCATCTTCTCCAGCTCTGTACCAGACTGGAATAAACCCCGGCAAACCCCATCTTCTCCAGCTCTGTACCAGACTGGAATAAACCCCGGCAAACCCCATCTTCTCCAGCTCTGTACCAGACTGGAATAAACCCCGGCAAACCCCATCTTCTCCAGCTCTGTACCAGACTGGAATAAACCCCGGCAAACCCCATCTTCTCCAGCTCTGTACCAGACTGGAATAAACCCCGGCAAACCCCATCTTCTCCAGCTCTGTACCAGACTGGAATAAACCCCGGCAAACCCCATCTTCTCCAGCTCTGTACCAGACTGGAATAAACCCCGGCAAACCCCATCTTCTCCAGCTCTGTACCAGACTGGAATAAACCCCGGCAAACCCCATCTTCTCCAGCTCTCCACCCCGGCAAACCCCATCTTCTCCAGCTCTGTACCAGACTGGAATAAACCCCGGCAAACCCCATCTTCTCCAGCTCTGTACCAGACTGGAATAAACCCCGGCAAACCCCATCTTCTCCAGCTCTGTACCAGACTGGAATAAACCCCGGCAAACCCCATCTTCTCCAGCTCTGTACCAGACTGGAATAAACCCCGGCAAACCCCATCTTCTCCAGCTCTGTACCAGACTGGAATAAACCCCGGCAAACCCCATCTTCTCCAGCTCTGTACCAGACTGGAATAAACCCCGGCAAACCCCATCTTCTCCAGCTCTGTACCAGACTTAAACCCCGGCAAACCCCATCTTCTCCAGCTCTGTACCAGACTGGAATAAACCCCGGCAAACCCCATCTTCTCCAGCTCTATACCAGACTGGAATAAACCCCGGCAAACCCCATCTTCTCCAGCTCTGTACCAGACTGGAATAAACCCCGGCAAACCCCATCTTCTCCAGCTCTGTACCAGACTGGAATAAACCCCGGCAAACCCCATCTTCTCCAGCTCTATACCAGACTGGAATAAACCCCGGCAAACCCCATCTTCTCCAGCTCTGTACCAGACTGGAATAAACCCCGGCAAACCCCATCTTCTCCAGCTCTGTACCAGACTGGAATAAACCCCGGCAAAATCTTCCCAGACAAACCCCATCTTCTCCAGCTCTGTACCAGACTGGAATAAACCCCGGCAAACCCCATCTTCTCCAGCTCTGTACCAGACTGGAATAAACCCCGGCAAACCCCATCTTCTCCAGCTCTGTACCAGACTGGAATAAACCCCGGCAAACCCCATCTTCTCCAGCTCTGTACCAGACTGGAATAAACCCCGGCAAACCCCATCTTCTCCAGCTCTGTACCAGACTGGAATAAACCCCGGCAAACCCCATCTTCTCCAGCTCTGTACCAGACTGGAATAAACCCCGGCAAACCCCATCTTCTCCAGCTCTGTACCAGACTGGAATAAACCCCGGCAAACCCCATCTTCTCCAGCTCTGTACCAGACTGGAATAAACCCCGGCAAACCCCATCTTCTCCAGCTCTGTACCAGACTGGAATAAACCCCGGCAAACCCCATCTTCTCCAGCTCTGTACCAGACTGGAATAAACCCCGGCAAACCCCATCTTCTCCAGCTCTGTACCAGACTGGAATAAACCCCGGCAAACCCCATCTTCTCCAGCTCTGTACCAGACTGGAATAAACCCCGGCAAACCCCATCTTCTCCAGCTCTGTACCAGACTGGAATAAACCCCGGCAAACCCCATCTTCTCCAGCTCTGTACCAGACTGGAATAAACCCCGGCAAACCCCATCTTCTCCAGCTCTGTACCAGACTGGAATAAACCCCGGCAAACCCCATCTTCTCCAGCTCTGTACCAGACTGGAATAAACCCCGGCAAACCCCATCTTCTCCAGCTCTGTACCAGACTGGAATAAACCCCGGCAAACCCCATCTTCTCCAGCTCTGTACCAGACTGGAATAAACCCCGGCAAACCCCATCTTCTCCAGCTCTGTACCAGACTGGAATAAACCCCGGCAAACCCCATCTTCTCCAGCTCTGTACCAGACTGGAATAAACCCCGGCAAACCCCATCTTCTCCAGCTCTATACCAGACTGGAATAAACCCCGGCAAACCCCATCTTCTCCAGCTCTATACCAGACTGGAATAAACCCCGGCAAACCCCATCTTCTCCAGCTCTGTACCAGACTGGAATAAACCCCGGCAAACCCCATCTTCTCCAGCTCTGTACCAGACTGGAATAAACCCCGGCAAACCCCATCTTCTCCAGCTCTATACCAGACTGGAATAAACCCCGGCAACCCCATCTTCTCCAGCTCTGTACCAGACTGGAATAAACCCCGGCAAACCCCATCTTCTCCAGCTCTATACCAGACTGGAATAAACCCCGGCAAACCCCATCTTCTCCAGCTCTGTACCAGACTGGAATAAACCCCGGCAAACCCCATCTTCTCCAGCTCTGTACCAGACTGGAATAAACCCCGGCAAACCCCATCTTCTCCAGCTCTGTACCAGACTGGAATAAACCCCGGCAAACCCCATCTTCTCCAGCTCTGTACCAGACTGGAATAAACCCCGGCAAACCCCATCTTCTCCAGCTCTGTACCAGACTGGAATAAACCCCGGCAAACCCCATCTTCTCCAGCTCTGTACCAGACTGGAATAAACCCCGGCAAACCCCATCTTCTCCAGCTCTGTACCAGACTGGAATAAACCCCGGCAAACCCCATCTTCTCCAGCTCTGTACCAGACTGGAATAAACCCCGGCAAACCCCATCTTCTCCAGCTCTGTACCAGACTGGAATAAACCCCGGCAAACCCCATCTTCTCCAGCTCTGTACCAGACTGGAATAAACCCCGGCAAACCCCATCTTCTCCAGCTCTGTACCAGACTGGAATAAACCCCGGCAAACCCCATCTTCTCCAGCTCTGTACCAGACTGGAATAAACCCCGGCAAACCCCATCTTCTCCAGCTCTGTACCAGACTGGAATAAACCCCGGCAAACCCCATCTTCTCCAGCTCTGTACCAGACTGGAATAAACCCCGGCAAACCCCATCTTCTCCAGCTCTGTACCAGACTGGAATAAACCCCGGCAAACCCCATCTTCTCCAGCTCTGTACCAGACTGGAATAAACCCCGGCAAACCCCATCTTCTCCAGCTCTGTACCAGACTGGAATAAACCCCGGCAAACCCCATCTTCTCCAGCTCTGTACCAGACTGGAATAAACCCCGGCAAACCCCCATCTTCTCCAGCTCTGTACCAGACTGGAATAAACCCCGGCAAACCCCATCTTCTCCAGCTCTGTACCAGACTGGAATAAACCCCGGCAAACCCCATCTTCTCCAGCTCTGTACCAGACTGGAATAAACCCCGGCAAACCCCATCTTCTCCAGCTCTGTACCAGACTGGAATAAACCCCGGCAAACCCCATCTTCTCCAGCTCTGTACCAGACTGGAATAAACCCCGGCAAACCCCATCTTCTCCAGCTCTATACCAGACTGGAATAAACCCCGGCAAACCCCATCTTCTCCAGCTCTGTACCAGACTGGAATAAACCCCGGCAACCCCATCTTCTCCAGCTCTGTACCAGACTGGAATAAACCCCGGCAAACCCCATCTTCTCCAGCACTATACCAGACTGGAATAAACCCCGGCAAGTCTGGTAACTGCCATCACCCTAGATACCTTTAAATATAAAATTTCTTCCTTTTCCAATAACTAGAATCCTTTCTCTCACTGGCCACTCATTCAAATTCTCTTGCCATGATAGTCAGTAATTCCTTTCTATGGTAGATGCCACTTGCTTATACATTGCAGAAAACAAAATTGATCAGCACTTCATCGCTTCGTGTGATCATGGGAAAACACAAAACAAAAAAATCTGACTGTAGTTTGGGAATTTAACAAATCAAAAGACACCATAAGTAAATTAGATATAACATAGCTGGCTTTTGCTAACTTCCGTTTGTAATTTGGCTAAAATGTCTGTTTATCTAAGTATAAGTCATATGTTTCCTTTTCAGAACAATATCATGAAAGCATCGTTTCCGAAACGAATAGCGGAGGAAATAACCCGAGCGTTTGATATCGACTCGTGTGGACCGTTTCGTAAAATGTACATCTCAAAAAATGACAATGTAACGTAAGTACGACACACTTACGATATCTCCACTCTGACAATGTAACGTAAGTCCGACACATTTACGATATCTTTACTCTGACAATGTAACGTAAGTCCGACACATTTACGATATCTTTACTCTGACAATGTAACTGACACATTTACGATATCTCCACTCTGACAATGTAACGTAAGTCCGACACATTTACGATATCTTTACTCTGACAATGTAACGTAAGTCCGACACATTTACGATATCTTTACTCTGACAATGTAACGTAAGTCCGACACATTTACGATATCTCCACTCTGACAATGTAACGTAAGTCCGACACATTTACGATATCTCCACTCTGACAATGTAACGTAAGTCCGACACATTTACGATATCTCCACACTGACAATGTAACGTAAGTCCGACACATTTACGATATCTCCGCTCTGACAAAGAAACGTAAGTCCGACACATTTACGATATCTCCACTCTGACAAAGAAACGTAAGTCCGACACATTTACGATATCTCCGCTCTGACAATGTAACGTAAGTCCGACACATTTACGATATCTCCACTCTGACAATGTAACGTAACTACGACACATTTACGATATCTCCACTCTGACAATGTAACGTAAGTCCGACACATTTACGATATCTTTACTCTGACAATGTAACGTAAGTCCGACACATTTACGATATCTCCGCTCTGACAATGTAACGTAAGTCCGACACATTTACGATATCTCCACTCTGACAATGTAACGTAAGTCCGACACATTTACGATATCTCCACTCTGACAATGTAACGTAAGTCCGACACATTTACGATATCTCCGCTCTGACAATGTAACGTAAGTCCGACACATTTACGATATCTCCACTCTGACAATGTAACGTAAGTCCGACACATTTACGATATCTCCACTCTGACAATGTAACGTAAGTCCGACACATTTACGATATCTCCACTCTGACAATGTAACGTAAGTCCGACACATTTACGATATCTCCGCTCTGACAATGTAACGTAACTACGACACATTTACGATATCTCCACTCTGACAATGTAACGTAAGTCCGACACATTTACGATATCTCCGCTCTGACAATGTAACGTAACTACGACACATTTACGATATCTCCGCTCTGACAATGTAACGTAACTACGACACATTTACGATATCTCCGCTCTGACAATGTAACGTAACTACGACACATTTACGATATCTCCGCTCTGACAATGTAACGTAACTACGACACATTTACGATATCTCCGCTCTGACAATGTAACGTAACTACGACACATTTACGATATCTCCGCTCTGACAATGTAACGTAAGTCCGACACATTTACGATATCTCCACTCTGACAATGTAACGTAAGTCCGACACATTTACGATATCTCCGCTCTGACAATGTAACGTAACTACGACACATTTACGATATCTCCGCTCTGACAATGTAACGTAACTACGACACATTTACGATATCTCCGCTCTGACAATGTAACGTAACTACGACACATTTACGATATCTCCGCTCTGACAATGTAACGTAACTACGACACATTTACGATATCTCCGCTCTGACAATGTAACGTAAGTCCGACACATTTACGATATCTCCGCTCTGACAATGTAACGTAACTACGACACATTTACGATATCTCCACACTGACAATGTAACGTAAGTCCGACACATTTACGATATCTCCACTCTGACAATGTAACGTAAGTCCGACACATTTACGATATCTTTACTCTGACAATGTAACGTAAGTCCGACACATTTACGATATCTTTACTCTGACAAAGTAACGTAAGTCCGACACATTTACGATATCTTTACTCTGACAATGGAAACATATAGTAATAATGGAATTCTCTACGAACCTTCTCTCTCCACTCCTACCCTCACCCCACCCACCAACCTCCCCCCCCCACCCCCCACTCCCCACCCCCTAAAAACAAACCAACAAAACAATGGAATTATATTACAGAAATAATTAAGAGACATTCCCTCCTCTCAACAAATATAACAATGAAATCATATTGCAGAAGTAATCGATTACTAAGCAGCCACTCCCTTCGATTCCTCCTTCAATCTTATTGACTTAACATAATCAGTATACCGTAACTTAAAGCGCATTATAAAAAATAAGCCATATCTCCCGAGATAACATTTTCCTTTTGTTCATGTTTTGCCTTTTGTTCATTGATGTTGAGTTTCAATTAAGATGATTTTTTGAAAGTTTATTTCCTTTGATTTTGTTGGTGGATTTTTATCTAATTAATGTTTGATAATGAACTCCATTTTCGACCTGAACATCACTGTATTTCAGTATCGTCTTTGCGGATATAGTAGGATTCACGACAATATCCTCCTTCTACAGTGCTGAACGTCTTGTGGCTTTGTTAAATGACATTTTCCTATCGTTTGATAGAATCGCAGATGTAAGTATTCATGATGAGAGACAAGAGAAGTCCGTAACATCTTTGTCCGAATAGATCGATTTAAAGGAACGTGATCCTATGTTTATCAACAAAACGAGGATGCTTTTCAGTGGAACATCATAAACCATGTCTTTGATGTATATGAAAAAAGCATTATGATAACAGTTTTCTAACTCAATTAATGATTGTAATTTAAGTTAAAATTATTACGTATTTCATATTAATAGGTATGTTAAGGCATATACAGTCAAACCTTGTTATTTCGAACTCATATAACTCGTCGGGCCCTTCCAAACTTTTCACCAAACATTCGACCTCACTTAAATCGAATTCTCGGATAACTCGAAGTTTTCCAACGGACCCACCGACTTCGAGATAACGACGTTCGAGTGTAATTTATATCGTAGAGTATGAAGTCAACCCCGGCTGTGAAAACCAGTATCAAACTCTCCAACTATTTACCAAGCAACACTCACACAACTGTTCGTTATAAAATCTGTTGAATAAGTGTTATTGTTGATGATTGTTGTTATTCTTCACTGTAGAAATAACTGTGTTCAAACATAGGAACTGACGCGGTATTCAAAATTTATAACTACATTTGTTACACCTTATAAGCAGACTTTGGGACATTATCATGGATACGACATCATATGTCGCTGTGTTTTGTTCGGTAGAAATATCATCAGCTGAGGTTGAAGATTTTGGGCGACTGTTATTATTGTATCTGTGGAATACCTGAGCCCAAGGAAGATCACGCCAGTCTCTCTGTCTCAATGGGTTTCGGTATCATGGATGCTATCAGGTGAGATATATTTAAATAGTGACACTGTTAGAAATATATACAGTTCGTTGACGATCTTTATAAATAAATAAAAAATGACACATTTATTTGACGACGCACCTCCCTGTATGTATTTCCCCCCCCCCCGATCACTTTCTAGAGCCAACTCTTTCTGTCCCTAGCATCACTAGTACAAACAAAACTGCTGTGTGAGGGAGTTTGGTTTTTTTATTTCGTTATCATGTATTTAATTTTAAAATTGTATTAGTATTGTTTAATGCAACAATAAAACAGTAACGTATTTGTTTAGACTTCGCTGATTGTTCAAGTTGCCTTAAACTTATTTTGTAGTTTCGGTGTCATTGCTACAAAGTTTTACATTGAATGCTTTATCTTCCTACAATGAGATTAACCAAAAATTGGTTTCAAGTTTCAGTCTCATATCTCTTGTGCTTGTGAAAATAATCGATAGAAAGCTTTTCGTTATTATAAAGTGTCTGTAATTAACAGTTATTCAATATAGATTTATTATATAGTGTCTTTAATTAAGTTATTCAATATAGATTTATTCTATAGTGTCTTTAATTAACAGTTATTCAATATAGATTTATTATATAGTGTCTTTAATAAACAGTTATTCAATATAGATATAATTATATAGCGTCTTTAATTAAGTTATTCAATATAGATTTATTATATAGTGTCTTTAATTAAGTTATTCAATATAGATTTATTCTATAGTGTCTTTAATTAACAGTTATTCAATATAGATTTATTATATAGTGTCTTTAATAAACAGTTATTCAATATAGATATAATTATATAGCGTCTTTAATTAATAGTTATTCAATATAGATATAATTATATAGTGTCTTTAATTAACAGTTATTCAATATAGATTTATTATATAGTGTCTTTAATTAATAGTTATTCAATATAGATATAATTATATAGTGTCTTTAATTAAGTTATTCAATATAGATTTATTCTATAGTGTCTTTAATTAATAGTTATTCAATATAGATTTATTATATAGTGTCTTTAATTAAGTTATTCAATATAGATTTATTCTATAGTGTCTTTAATTAATAGTTATTCAATATAGATTTATTATATAGTGTCTTTAATTAAGTTATTCAATATAGATTTATTCTATAGTGTCTTTAATTAAGTTATTCAATATAGATTTATTCTATAGTGTCTTTAATTAAGAGTTATCCAATATAGATATAATTATATAGTGTCTTTAATTAAGTTATTCAATATAGATTTATTCTATAGTGTCTTTAATTAACAGTTATTCAATATAGATTTATTATATAGCGTCTTTAATTAAGTTATTCAATATAGATATAATTATATAGTGTCTTTAATTAACAGTTATCCAATATAGATATAATTATATAGTGTCTTTAATTAAGTTATTCAATATAGATTTATTATATAGTGTCTTTAATTAACAGTTATTCAATATAGATTTATTAGATAGTGTATTTAATTAACAGTTATTCAATATAGATATAATTATATAGTGTCTTTAATTAACAGTTATTCAATATAGATATAATTATATAGTGTCTTTAATTAACAGTTATTCAATATAGATATAATTATATAGTGTCTTTAATTAACTGTTATTCAATATAGATATAATTACATAGTGTCTTTAATCAACAGTTATTCAATATAGATTGATTATATAGTGTCTTTAACTAAGTTATTCAATATAGATTTATTATATAGTGTTTTAATTGAGTAATTCAATATAGATTTATTATATAGTGTCTTTAATTAACAGTTATTCAATATAGATATAATTATATAGTGTCTTTAATTAACTGTTATTCAATATAGATATAATTATATAGTGTCTTTAATCAACAGTTATTCAATATAGATTGATTATATAGTGTCTTTAACTAAGTTATTCAATATAGATTTATTATATAGTGTTTTAATTGAGTAATTCAATATAGATTTATTATATAGTGTCTTTAATTAACAGTTATTCAATATAGATATAATTATATAGTGTATTTAATTAACAGTTATTCAATATAGATATAATTATATAGTGTCTTTAATTAACAGTTATTCAATATAGATATAATTATATAGTGTCTTTAATTAACAGTTATTCAATATAGATATAATTATATAGTGTCTTTAATTAACTGTTATTCAATATAGATATAATTATATAGTGTCTTTAATCAACAGTTATTCAATATAGATTGATTATATAGTGTCTTTAACTAAGTTATTCAATATAGATTTATTATATAGTGTTTTAATTGAGTAATTCAATATAGATTTATTATATAGTGTCTTTAATTAACAGTTATTCAATATAGATTGATTATATAGTGTCTTTAACTAAGTTATTCAATATAGATTTATTATATAGTGTTTTAATTGAGTAATTCAATATAGATTTATTATATAGTGTCTTTAATTAACAGTTATCCAATATAGATATAATTATATAGTGTCTTTAATTAAGTTATTCAATATAGATTTATTATATAGTGTCTTTAATTAACAGTTATTCAATATAGATTTATTAGATAGTGTATTTAATTAACAGTTATTCAATATAGATATAATTATATAGTGTCTTTAATTAACAGTTATTCAATATAGATATAATTATATAGTGTCTTTAATTAACAGTTATTCAATATAGATATAATTATATAGTGTCTTTAATTAACTGTTATTCAATATAGATATAATTACATAGTGTCTTTAATCAACAGTTATTCAATATAGATTGATTATATAGTGTCTTTAACTAAGTTATTCAATATAGATTTATTATATAGTGTTTTAATTGAGTAATTCAATATAGATTTATTATATAGTGTCTTTAATTAACAGTTATTCAATATAGATATAATTATATAGTGTCTTTAATTAACTGTTATTCAATATAGATATAATTATATAGTGTCTTTAATCAACAGTTATTCAATATAGATTGATTATATAGTGTCTTTAACTAAGTTATTCAATATAGATTTATTATATAGTGTTTTAATTGAGTAATTCAATATAGATTTATTATATAGTGTCTTTAATTAACAGTTATTCAATATAGATATAATTATATAGTGTATTTAATTAACAGTTATTCAATATAGATATAATTATATAGTGTCTTTAATTAACAGTTATTCAATATAGATATAATTATATAGTGTCTTTAATTAACAGTTATTCAATATAGATATAATTATATAGTGTCTTTAATTAACTGTTATTCAATATAGATATAATTATATAGTGTCTTTAATCAACAGTTATTCAATATAGATTGATTATATAGTGTCTTTAACTAAGTTATTCAATATAGATTTATTATATAGTGTTTTAATTGAGTAATTCAATATAGATTTATTATATAGTGTCTTTAATTAACAGTTATTCAATATAGATATAATTATATAGTGTCTTTAATCAACAGTTATTCAATATAGATTGATTATATAGTGTCTTTAACTAAGTTATTCAATATAGATTTATTATATAGTGTTTTAATTGAGTAATTCAATATAGATTTATTATGTAGTGTTTGTAATTAACAGTTATTCAATATAGATATAATTATATAGTGTCTTTAATTAACAGTTATCCAATATAGATATAATTATATAGTGTCTTTAATTAAGTTATTCAATATAGATTTATTATATAGTGTCTTTAATTAACAGTTATTCAATATAGATTTATTATATAGTGTCTTTAATTAACAGTTATTCAATATAGATTTATTATAGAGTGTCTTTAATTAACAGTTATTCAATATAGATTTAATAATTTGTTTTGTTTTGTAGCGTGATTTCTTCAAAAATGAAAATGAGGGTAGGCGTGCATACCGGAAGTGTATTAAGTGGAGTGCTTGGTCTTAGTCAGTGGCAGTTTGACGTCCTTGGACAAGATGTTAAGATTGCTAATCTGATGGAAAGTTCCGGAGTTCCAGGGTAAGTATTCCGTCGGCCCCGTCCAAACTTCATACCAAACATTCAAGGTCACTGCAATCGAATACTCGGATAAATCGAAGTTTTCCAAAGGTCAAGCCGACTTCGAGATAACGAAGTTCGACTGTACATGATGACCACACACTGCCAAGATATGTCTTTTATTATCATTTTCCGTTGTGATATAAACTTGATTAGATTAAAACAGGCACATGACAATGTATCAATAGGAGTTTAACATGCCATACAAATTAATTTTCCTGAAAGTGAATGTCATTTTATTTACTTCGATGTTTTGTAAACAAGGATCATCCTTTAGATAAACTAATATCTGTAATTGTCGTAATAGAAATGAGTCAAGTATGGAGTCACAGAATCACAACGTTTTATATATAAAGTACATTGTTGGTTGTTAAGAGATAAATACAGGCTGTAAAACCACATCACAATAAACATATATATAAAAGAGAGTAAATTGGATTTGTTTACAAACCTCCAAGACAAATGCGCAAGCACATCTTGCATTCAATATGAACATATTCAATTAACACAAATAATAACACAAAAGTTAGAAAGCATGTAAATTGTTTAGTATTAAAGTTATACTTCATTTACTGCTTACAAAACCTTTCTTTGGGTTTTTTTTTCTGGATTTTTATAACAGGGTTTTAATATTGTTTGAATGTTTTGACAGGAAAGTTCATATCACGCACGTGACACGTGCGTTGCTAAGTGACGATTACGTTATAACGCCAAGTAATGCTGGAGAAAAGGTGGACTTTCTAAAGCGTGCTGGTATACGCACATTCTTCATTTCACAAAGCCGCAATAAAGAGGTAAAATTCTGATAAATCATTTTTATAAATACAATAATTTCTGTTTTATCATATCTTAATGTCATATGTGAGATTAGTAACAGGGAGGAATATCGACATTGTTGTAGAGGGTACGATTTTCTCTTCACAATAATACAGAAACAACTTTTCGTTTTCATGAACAGAATCCCCCCTTTAATCCTTTGGTAAAAACGTGAGCGTTTTATCCAGGGAACAAAACAATGTTGATAGTTTGCTCTTATTTTTAAACCAATGTTATATTTCTGACCTACAAAATGAGGTAACTTTCCTTCAACATTTTAATTTCACCAATAGATTACTAATTTGTGTCAGTGTGGGCTCGGAATACAGCAATACTGCCTCTGTCTTCGAAATAGGACTTTAGGAACAGCGCGATATTCATCTATGTTCTAGATGTAGAGATGATTCAATGACGAGACATGATCATTTTTTACATCGCTCTTCTCCCCTGTAATCATTGAAGTAACCCCTGGTTATATATCCAATCACCGCTCTTCTCCCTTGTTATCATTGAAGCGCCCCCTGGTTATATATCCAATCATCGCTCTTCTCCCTAGTAATCATTGAAGCGACCCCTGATTATATATCCAATCACCGCTCTTCTCCCGTGTAATCATTGAAGCGCCCCCTGGTTATATATTCCAATCACCGCTCTTCTCCCCTGTAATCATTGAAGTACCCCCCTGGTTATATATTCCAATCGCCGCTCTTCTCCCCTGTAATCATTGAAGCGTCCCCTGGTTATATATCCAATCACCGCTCTTCTCCCCTGTAATCATTGAAGCGTCCCCTGGTTATATATCCAATCACCGCTCTTCTCCCGTGTAATCATTGAAGCGCCCCCTGGTTATATATTCCAATCATCGCTCTTCTCCCCTGTAATCATTGAAATAACCCCCTGGTTCTATATATCCAATCACCGCTCTTTTCCCCTGTTATCACTGAAGCGCACCCTGGTTATATATCCAATCACCGCTCTTCTCCCCTGTAATCATTGAAGCGCCCCTGGTTATATATCCAATCACTGCTCTTCTCCCCTGTAATCATTGAAATAACCCCCTGGTTATATATTCCAATCATCGCTCTTCTCCCCTGTAATCATTGAAATAACCCCCTGGTTATATATCCAATCACCGCTCTTCTCCCCTGTAATCATTGAAGTACCCCCCTGGTTTTATATTCCAATTATCACTCTTCTCCCCTGTAATCATTGAAGCGCCCCCTGGTTATATATCCAATCACCGCTCTTCTCCCCTGTAATCATTGAAGTGTGACTGAACTGTTTATTGTTTCAAAGAAGAATCTGTTTTCTGTTATAAACTAGCATGCTGAGATTGAAGAAGAGGTTTCCGACATTTTAGATTCGGACGACGCATGGGATACTCATGAAATTTCCGATATCTGTGATACGACAATGTAAGTAGAGTGACATATATATATTCTCACCACGATCATGTACTCATTACAAACCTTGCAGTTACCGTTGTTGACAATGTAATATTGGAGCATACGACTACTGTAGAGCTGTCTTCTGTATATGTATTGTCTTTTGTATAGTATAATAGAAAACAATTGAAGTCTTCAATAATAAGAAAGAATATATAATTCACAGTAGAGATAAATTACTATAAGTTAAATTAGCTTTATTTTACGCCAATTGCGAAAGAAGCTATAACCTTATATTAATCACTGTTGTTGGCCACATTGAAATGTGTGAGGTGTTGTGGGTGGAAACCGGAGTACCTGGAGAAAACTGGCTCTGTAAGTCACCACGCCTATTCAAGTCTGAGCGAGAAATTGAACCGAGTGAAGCGAGTGCGTTACCACTGTGTCGGTCGATCATTTTACAGACAACGTAATTGATGTGTCCTCGCTCTCATTAAGGAAGCTAGGAATCATACGTCATATTCATCCTTGGATAATTATCTCCTTTACATCAAACGGAAGTCAACTCACAGAATCCCCCGTCCTCTCCAGTTTTATCTAATTTATATAACATGCGAAATTAATTACTCTCAAGCGCTTTACATGACAGCAATAATGACCATGGTATTGTTACACATATTATCCTTTACACAAGCTTGCTCACTGATTACGGTCAACATAGGTCAAAGGTAAAGGTTACTAGAATTTTTTCACCGTTACTCTTTTTTTCCCAACTTGTTCATGTTTCGACTCTGGTATTCCATTTTGTCTTTTGGAAAAAATCTTTCCACAAACTGTGTAATATACACGTGATAATACCCTAGTACATCGCATCATGGAATGATCACGTTTTTAAAACGATACTTTGTTTCGTGTAGTGATGAGTGGAGATGAAGAAGTCCAAACGCTGTTCGGGTGCTGAAGATTTATTGCGATGTAGGTTAGGGAGACATGGAACACTCACATGCCTTCATGAACCGATACATACTGGTTAGAAAGGTGGTCGTATTTATACTGGCCATGTTAATTAACTGATAAAGCACTATTACACATTAACTAACAGGTAAACATGGATTGTAATATACATGAGTTATTGACATGGTCTTAAACACAAAAATGGCAATAGATTCAGTTGTTTACAACAAGATAAGGTTACACTGACCATCATACAAACTGCTTAGATAGGCCCCAGGTAATGACTTATATAATCAGGGAACGAACTAATACATGAACATGTGTAGTAGATCAGTAACGACAGAATGCCTCTGACCATTGGTCAATACTTAATTGTTCCTAGTAGACGTCAGTAATAAATTAACAAATTTGATATAATTTGATGAAACATCTGACTTATGTCAAGCACAATTTTGAATGATTTAATCTTACCTATTAACTTTTAATAGTCAATTTGTTTACTGCCTCAGACAGCCTCAGTGTAAATACTACACGTATCCGAATAACCGATATGGTTGTGGATAATATAAGGGACACAGGATACATCACGCAATAAAATTCACAAGTAAATTGTATGATAAGGTTGTTTCATCAATGATGTCACCCGAATACCTGGACAAAAAACATACAGAAAGCAATGGGATTTAATATAGATTTCCAAATTTCTTTGGATAATTAAACCCAATCAATTATTTTGAGTATTGTCAATTTAAGTATGATGTTTAATTTGAAAGTAGTAATAGCTTCCTAACTAGAACTCATTATTAAGTATTATGAACAACGATAACAGTCAAAGTACGAACTGTACAGTTAAAATTCATTTGACTAATTCCACATACGTATTTATATACAGAATTTTGAATGCAGTTCAATAACGTTATACCATCGATATTTAATATGTATCAAGTCGGTCGCATTCTGGACTTTAAAATTCAGACACTTAGCGTCAATGACGTGTTCTAGAGGGAGAACACATGTTTGATGCGTTGTCTTTACTGTATCTTGACTTATATCTATTTAAAAGGAAGGGACTCACTTGTGCGACTTTTGTACAATCTAGGAGATTGGTGAAATTGACACGGTACAGAATATAGCCAGGTACTTCACGTGGTCATAGAATTACCCGATAAATGAAAATCACGAAATTTATTGAATTACCAACGAAACAGCTGTATGATGTAGCATCAATGACAAGTCCAAGAAGGACGAAACAGCTGTATGATGTAGCATCACTGACAAGTCCAAGAAGAACGAAACAGCTGTATGATGTAACATCAATGACAAGTCCTAGAAGAACGAAACAGCTGTATGATGTAACATCAATGACAAGTCCAAGAAGAACGAAACAGCTGTATGATGTAACATCAATGACAAGTCCTAGAAGAACGAAACAGCTGTATGATGTAACATCAATGACAAGTCCTAGAAGAACGAAACAGCTGTATGATGTAGCATCAATGACAAGTTTGCTGTCCAGTATCTAGCCCTGAAATTGTATTTAAAATGTCTCTTTTCAAGTGTACCCTGAGTGTTTTGCTATATACAATTAAATGTCAAGAAAGTGCGAAGATAGTTGTTCGTTTCCGAGATATTATGATTTTTCTGAAATGCACACCTTTGGCTCAACAGGATCGCCTCGATATGGGTAGCCCACATCTGTGACGTCACGTGTTCAACGGTTCAACAGTCCTATAGAAATAATATAAGGAAAACAGCGGTGCAATCAATGTTTTGATTGGACAAAAAACAAGGCCTGTAAAAATGTTCAAACTTTGAAACGTTAACACAACCCTGTGTTGTCTGTCGGGGGGATTCTTCCATCGCCTCACCACCAGAGGCCACTTGTCTCGCTCTATTGCTGATGGACTTAGCTGTTGAGTAGAATTATTTCCTTCTTCAACGATTATCATTCTGCGAAAGCAGAGGTGGTTTGGGGGATTTATTTAACGGTCTACGTTATATTTAGAACTTGTTATACATTTCATACATTTTCTCTTTGATTTGACAGTGGCGAGATGAACGTGTACCCTGTCTCTCTTGGATTCAGAAACATCATCACGGAAAAGCAATACCTGTATCGCCGCCAGTTCCTCGGTCTTCAGCCTTATCCCTTTGTGTTTGTGTTAATGGTCGTCTTTACGAACAACTTTACCAGTTTCTTCAAGTAAATACAATCTTTTAATGATTTATAGAATTAAACGAATTGTATAAAATAAACAGGAGTAATTAGCATATGTCCATGCTAGATTAGAATTTGATTCTAGGACTCGTCAGTGATACTCAGGACCTAATTGATCGAAGCCAAGATGAAATTTTATCAAAGTAAATGTTAAAACTAAAAGGGTTGTGACCTAACCCCAAAATTTTCCATATATATATTTAAAGTTAAGAGTAATATTAGCAATACCATATTCAGCTAATGAATAATTATTGTAAATGAGATACATGTGGCTATTGATTGGCTGACTAGTGCATCCTTTTAAATTGTGCATTAAAATTAAACGTTTGGAATTTATTGAATTATGGGATTACTGCACCTCTCCATCTAGATGTTGGTTTTTCTTTCGATCACTTGATTTTCCGCAGTCGCCTCCTAGGATACAAAAATTAGGTATTTGGCATCACTGATGAGTTCCAGAAGGACGAAACAGTTGTATGATGTAGCATCACTGATGAGTTCTAGAAGGACGAAACAGTTGTAAGATGTAGCATCACTGATGAGTCCTAGAAGGACGAACCAGTTGTATGATGCAGCATCATTGACGAGTTCTAGAAAGACGGAACGGCTGTATGATGCAGCATCATTGACGAGTTCTAGAAAGACGGAACGGCTGTATGATGCAGCGTCATTGACGAATTCTAGAAAGACGGAACGGCTGTATGATGCAGCGTCATTGACGAGTTCTAGAAAGACGGAACGGCTGTATGATGCAGCATCATTGACGAGTTCTAGAAAGACGGAACGGCTGTATGATGCAGCATCATTGACGAGTTCTAGAAAGACGGAACGGCTGTATGATGCAGCATCATTGACGAGTTCTAGAAAGACGAAATATTTGTATAATGCAGTTTAATGCATTACTTTTACCTGTTGTATCTTACTCTAAAATTGTATTAAAACGTGGTTTTTACTTGTTTCTTTGGTATTATCATCGGATATGTTGCTTTCTTGTGTTACTGGTCATTTGTGGCCATAGCTGGCACACTTTTTGACCATATCTAGCAACAAGATATGCTTTAATAACCGAACTGTTGTCTAATGTAAATACGATTCCGATGAGGTACCTAAAGACTCATTGATGTGACCAGCTGATATCATAATAAGTGGAGCAGTTACTTTTGTGTCCACATTTAACAAAAGCAACATTTCCCTACTTGTTTAAACATATTATTGCCGTTAAGCAAAAGGACTGGGCACAAGTTACAATAGCATTATTAACGTCCTTTCCTTTAGAAGAAAAACAATTACATACATACATTACAAGATGGCTCAAAATAATTATATACATCTTATTTTTAATTTAGAGAGAGACAGAGAGAGAGAGAGAGAAAGAGAGAGGGAGGGAGACAGAGAGACGGAGAGAGAGGGAGAGAGGGAGGGAGGGAGACAAAGACAGATAGAGAGAGAGAGGGGGGAGAGACAGAGAGAGAGAGTGAGAGAGAGACAGAGGGAGACAGAGACAAAGACAGATAGAGAGACAGAGAGAGAGAGACAGAGAGAGAGTGAGACAGAGACAGAGGGAGAGGGAGAGAGAGGGGGAGAGAGAGACAGAGGGAGAGAGAGAGGGAAAGAGAGAGAGACAGAGAGAGAGACAGAGACAGATATATATATATATAGAGAGAGAGAGACAGAGAGAGAGAGACAGAGAGAGAGAGAGAGAGAGAGAGAGAGATTTACTCAAATTTCATGGCTAAATAAATACATTCTTACAAAGTACATCTTAAATATATATGACACTATGTTTTACATTTAACTGCACCAACCGAATCATGCTATCACACAACACAAGCATTCTCGCAAGCCATGGAAATTCGGACACATTTCCCTAACTCCGCCGTCCATTGTCTAATATAGACCTCCATACTATTCTAGGGGTAGACAATTTACAAGTTATCTCTCACAGTATCCTAGGAGTCAACAGGTAAAGGCAGGATACGTCTACAAACTCCCTCGGCACGCACTGAGGGGTCAAAAGTTGATACACACGCCATCGCAATTATCCTGGGGGTCGAAAGGCAGGGGGGTATAGGTCAACTTTCTACAATGGTAGATAATGGCAGAGGCAAGGTTGATTGACGCTGTTGTTTATGTTGTTTCCTGGTTATATTCTATATGTAAATCCTATTTGATGTCTGACTTGATAACATCTTCCAAAATTCGTTGAACGTCCTCATATCGAAGTATGATTTATTTGCCTGATATTTCTTGAGCTGCCAACAATGTTGAAAAGTTCAAGCAATTTAACTTTCTATTCAGACTATGGTTTTCATGATCGGGATTTCTGAGATGAAAATAGAGGCGTGTCCTTATTCGGAATGACATTGATAAATCATAACGGTCTTTCATCTGTAATAGGGATCTGTAAAACCCACTAAAGATAGCCCCATATGTTCAAGTGTTGAAATGAATACCCATTTACGATATGAACGAAAGCAGAGCTTATTCGTTTACATTTAGGCATGATATGACGACTCAGGTTGTCATTTGTTCAAGGAACAATGCAATGATCCTGTATTTTACCATAGCATGAAGCCTTAACATCGTCCTTGAAATTACAAATTCCAGGTCCTGGAATGTCATGGTGTCTTCGTGCCTTGGGTCAGTTATAATGCTGTTGAACGTTCTCACTATGACTGAGGTAAGATATTTTCAGCACTACCATGTTTTATATCATGATTTATTTGGGATCAATTGAGATCCGATTGACCTACATATGATCCATACGGAGACAGTGGAAAGAACAATCCTGCTGTACCTCACTGCATTTCATAAGAGGCGACTAATTCACTGGCAACTCTCTCAGGTCGTGGGAAGTTTCTTTAATGAGTTTCGTTACGGAAGCATAGGAATGCCCAAGAACAAGGTCTGTTGTCCACTACATGATCGTAGGAGGCGTTTGGCCTTTACTGAATCGAGTGTTCTCTTATGCGTCTCTTACTAAGGGGAGATAATACACCAAATCAGATCTACTGTTCCTATTGCTGCTCTTTGTATCTTGACCTTTCGCTGTCTTTCCTATCTGCCTATCTGCTCTTTCTTCGTTGTTCGTTTTCCACTCTAGGCGTTCCTTAGACACCCGACGTTTGACCTTGGCTGTCGGTGTCCCTCTTGTCACCTGACCTTCAACCTTTACTGTTGCAAATACGTTATACCTGTAAAATACAGAGGGCGGAAAGTCTCTCAGAATGCGATTATCATTTTAAGGCTATGAACGGGGTCAAACACTTTCCGATTGATGTTTCTTGTTGGGGACGACTACGGCAATCTTTATCTCATTATCCTTTGTCCATTATGTTTATAGAAGGTTTCGAACCTTGTCCCACTAGTGTTGTGATTATCTTGACTTTATCTTTATAGGGTATTGACGGTCTCTCCGAAAAGACCCTGATTGTCCATTTTGCCGAAAACGTCCTTATCTTCATTTCGGCTATTTTCTCGCTTTTTGCCTGGCTAGACACGGTGAGTATATGAACTGTGGATTTCATTGTTTGTACAATCTCATGATATACATGTGATTACATATGGTGATATACAATCACGAGGTTTGGCCCTCCTGAACGAAACATGTTTCTTTGTTACAATGTCCATGCAGATGAAGTGTCACTGCATCCTATCTTATAAATCAGAATGCCATTCTTTAGATATTCCAGAACACCAGTCTTTATATGTCACAGTGTACAATATGTCCTTGACAATTTGACCTTCGTTTAATTATATTCCAGGATGTATGGACATCTGACAACGAAACTTCTTCCATTTTCAATGCTACCGGAAATGCTACACCGGATGTGGAATCACCGATGACATTCGTCTTGTGTGATTATGTGTACCTGCGCTTACTGTTGCTGATGATTGGCGTCAACGAGACAGTGAAATTACGACACAGTTTGAAGTGCCTCATCGTCGTATTATTTGCTTTTGTTTCCCTTATGCATCTTGTACATTTACATCCAAACGGCAAGTACACAAAGTAAGCAGTTATGACGTCATTGTTTATTTTATCATTAGCGGGATTGAAAAATCACAAATCACATAAAAATAAAAGAAATAGATATCGACATGCTTACAGAATACAAGTTCAACCAAAACTCAAAATATAACCAAAATCAAAATTTACACTGAGATTCCTGAAAAAATACAAGGAAAATAAAACTTGATGTTCCTGAACGGTACGCATCTGTTGTTTCATCGACTGCACCCACCATGTAAATCTTGGTAAATCCAAGTATGTAATGTCACGTTCCCAGTCGGGAATAAGTAAGCCACAACCGAACCAGGCAAACAGCATTACGGCCGAGGTGGCCAAGATTTAAGAAGTGAAGTTTCTAAGTTTCGTTCAATTCCAACACGGGTTTATTCTGACCTCTCCTCGTATATATCCCATTATGAAACGATAGACGTAAACTTGACTTCCCATGTCATGACTTACGTTGAGTTAAAAGAGTTGAGATATATCCAATTAAATATCACAATATTAAAAGAAATGTAACCAAAACAAGTAATATCTGAGAATTTTGCTGCGAAAAAGGTTTCTCATGTCCTTTCTCATAGCCCCTCCCACTTCCTGTTGTCGATTTCAGTCTAGGATGAAGGACTATTAAAAGACTAAAATAAAGTTTGTTTATGTGAATAACCTGTCCAAAATCGTTATTTCTGTAGGCATTTGTTTTAAATGAATCGATCACGGTTTTCTATAATTTAAACTTATAAAAGCTTCATTGTCCCTGGATTGCAGAGGTTGAGTGGCCATATTTCTGGACAAGCATTGCAAAAACTGAAAAAACCCGGAAAATGCGATAAGTGTACACCAACACAGTCTCTCCGCCTATCGATTCGATTTCACCAGTTTTTAATTTGATCTTGATTTGTTTCCATGGACGTGTTCTAAATCCTTTACCTCAATATGAAAGATAGTCGCTCTGTTTTCACTAGCATCGGATTCATTTCATTGACAAGGATTTTTGAATCCTGAAAGTCATCCAATCACAACACTTGTGATATCACTATTACTTCCAAATGATATTGATAGCTCCTTGTTGTAGGATAGGATACGGAAATCAGTTAATTATGTTCATTGTGTGTGAAACATTTAAAATGAAACGTTACAAGAACTTCCAGAATAAGGAATGTAGTGTTAATTTTTCGCCTATTCTTTCTAAGGACGATTGCACCAAGTGTGACTTGAAATATAGTAAAGTTAGACGCTTTATTTATAAACTAATAAAGATGAACACATATCAATGGAATATCGATAACTGAATAAATAAAGTTTTTATAAACTGTTGATAAAACTATGTACATAACAGACATACTTGAAGAACAACATGGCTGACTTGTGATTCAGATGACACGGTCATGACAACTGAAATGATATGATTATCAACATTTATCCACAGTACAGCAGAGGATATGATCTCACCTGCCGGAACCGTGCTCAGTTTTTTGGTAATTATTGTTCTGATGAATAGAAAGGTAAGAAACACTGATTATAATATATACGCTTTTAAAAAAAACAATCACTGTTTTATTGTTTGTATTTATAAGTCACAGGTTTGGTAAACTTGGCAGTCGGCCAAGTATTGGTACTGATGACATGCCACAGTAACAAAACTTGTTAAATCATTGATAATTAACAGGATTCTGACCGTCGGGCTGCCTATTAATTGTATCTTCAACATCCAGCTTATCATATACAGTAAGCAGTTACAGTTCTTCGTGTCACCAACCAACCACCTGTTAATCTATCAGTAACAGATTCTGAACGTCGGGCTGTCTATTAATTGTTTATTCCACATCCAGCTTATCATAAACAGCTGCGGATATCTTACCTATAAGAACAAAGTTAATATGTTGTAAATGAGAATGAGTCCAATGTCGCTGATATCGTAAATTAGACACATATTACCTAATTTAGAGAATCCTGGACAGCAATAGTGTCAATTCTTACAGGGAAATTTACCTGTATAACTTACCTGTTTCTACATAGCAACAAATTTTACATGTATATTTAATGTTCTGTTTTTAAAATGAACTTGATAATATTTTGAATAGTATATCTATCAACATATAATTTCTGTCAGAAGTTTCAAAATTGACACTGTGACAATATAAATCATTTCCTATATCACGTGGTATCACAATAAGGACACGTGATAATCTACATTATCCGGCATGCCAGTATGATTTCTGGTTGCCTGTTCTAAATACAAAGTCCTTTCGTTTTCATTTAATTCATCAAAGTTGGGGTTTTTCTTCAAAATTACAACTATTTTTACATATTCTATAGCAATCTGATATGAAGAATAAAAAAACACTACTCCATTTTTGTAAAACATTATCATGTTATATCTGCTAAACAATAAATTTTATCCATGTGGCCTAAATATTCTCGAAATTGAAAAATCCGTATACATCAGACCAAATTCATTTAAATTCTTTTGTATGAAGTTAAGTGTGGGAGTACTCTATTTTAACGATTTAGCAATAATTACCCATTTACAACAATAGGTCATCTATTTTTAGACTGCAATATTCTTCACCAATAATCTAACCTACACAATTGTCACGTGCTTTTTTCTTTGTTCAAATTACATCGTAATTTCTTAATTTCGGGGGTGGGGGGGGGGGGAGTGTGTGTGTGTGTGGGGGGGGGGGGTTGGAATCGGTTTATAGTCTTTCGTTGTGTTATAGGGGGCTAAATCATCCAATATAATAACTTGTTCAATGATATACAATTCCGTGCTATATTGTCAAATTCAATTATTTTTCTATTGGATTTTTTTATAAATCTATTAACTTAAATAACAATAATGTTTTTAAGATCGTCACTCATCAAATATGGAGAAATGTATGAAACACCAGTAAAAATCCAGGTGAAAAAAAGGCAGTTTATATCAAAAAGGTATCTTATGTAGTGTCTCCCTTCACAAAGATAAACACGTGCTTCCTCAGTCGAGAGATGAGGCAGAGGTAGATTTGTATTATATCTTACCAAGCAGAGGTGAAAGGTCAGTTGCCATTTGACCTCCCCCGCAGAGGTGACAGACACCTATCTTCATCATTTGATAATAGACAGGTATGTCACCTTGGTGTTGAACTGTTGACAGTTACAGTACAACACAATCATCAAAGACAGTTTCAGCACAGAAATAATATTACGTATTACCACACATAGAGACAATGAATAACAAAAAAAAAAAATAAATAAAACGGTGTTTAATGATTGACAGTTGTCGTTCACAAGTCGGAAGAAATACTGTGACACAGAATTGTTTGGTATCTACCGTAGATTAGAATTATTCAGCCACGAAATCGTACCTAATAATTAACAACTTGTCTTTTGTGTTTTACCGTAAAGAAGAAATATTGAAACACAAAAAAAAAAAAAAATTGATCATTGACAATACAGTAGAAATACTGCGCACAACAAAAATAGAAACATCTATAAATCGAACTCCGATATTCGAATTCTTGATATATCGAATTTCTTGATATATCGAATCTACTGCCGGTCCTGAATTTTATTCCAATATATTACTTCTAATTTGCCCCTTTTATGAATAGAAGTTTAATAAATCGAACTTGTCGATATATCGATTTTTTTGTGGACAATAACTGTATATTGTTGTAAACAGCTATCATACGGAAGAAAACCAGTAGTCATGTTAACAAATAGTTTACAGAAAATATACAGCGCTATAAAGATAATGACTTTTATTGTAACGCAGAAATACACGGGCACAATTTAGTACATGGGTGTTGAGACTTATCGTGAAAAAGAAAAAAAAACGGATCATAAAATGGGGTTTATCTATACAGTAGAAAACATTTGAAACCAAACAATGTTTGTCTGTTGTCTTTTTGTACTTTAGGTTGAAACTGTGAAGCGAAAGATGTTTCTTCAAAGAACGAAAGCCATAGGTAATCATGAATTGCTGAGGAAGCTGAGAAGGAAGAACAAGGACCTGCTTTACAATTTGATTTTCCCCGACATAGCACGGGATCTACTCTCCAAACCAGATCTAACGGTAGGGTCTTTTCATCTTCCCCGACACAGCCCGGGATCTACTCTCCAAACCAGATCTAACGGTAGGGTCTTTTCATCTTCCCCGACATAGCCCGGTATCTACTCTCCAAACCAGATCTAACGGTAGGGTCTTTTCATCTTCCCCGACATAGCCCGGGATCTACTCTCCAAACCAGATCTAACGGTAGGGTCTTTTCATCTTCCCCGACACAGCCCGGGATCTACTCTCCAAACCAGATCTAACGGTAGGGTCTTTTCATCTTCCCCGACACAGCCCGGGATCTACTCTCCAAACCAGATCTAACGGTAGGGTCTTTTCATCTTCCCCGACATAGCCCGGGATCTACTCTCCAAACCAGATCTAACGGTAGGGTCTTTTCATCTTCCCCGACAAAGCCCGGGATCTACTCTCCAAACCAGATCTAACGGTCCAAACCAGGGTCTTTTCATTTTCCCCGACATAGCCCGGGATCTACTCTCCAAACCAGATCTAACAGATCTACTCTCCAAACCAGATCTAACGGTAGGGTCTTTTCATCTTCCCCGACATAGCCCGGGATCTACTCTCCAAACCAGATCTAACGGTAGGGTTTTTTCATCTTCCCCGACATAGCACGGGATTTACTCTCCAAACCAGATCTAACGGTAGGGTCTTTTCATCTTCCCCGACATAGCCCGGGGTCTACTCTCCAAACCAGATCTAACGGTAGGGTCTTTTCATCTTCCCCGACATAGCCTGGGATCTACTCTCCAAACCAGATCTAACGGTAGGGTCTTTTCATCTTCCCCGACACAGCCCGGGATCTACTCTCCAAACCAGATCTAACGGTAGGGTCTTTTCATCTTCCCCGACATAGCCCGGGATCTACTCTCCAAACCAGATCTAACGGTAGGGTCTTTTCATCTTCCCCGACACAGCCCGGGATCTACTCTCCAAACCAGATATAACGGTAGGGTCTTTTCATCTTCCCCGACACAGCCCGGGATATACTCTCCAAACCAGATCTAACGGTAGGGTCTTTTCATCTTCCCCGACACAGCCCGGGATCTACTCTCCAAACCAGATATAACGGTAGGGTTTTTTCATCTTCCCCGACATAGCACGGGATTTACTCTCCAAACCAGATATAACGGTAGTGTCTTTTCATCTTCCCCGACACAGCCCGGGATCTACTCTCCAAACCACATCTAACGGTAGGGTCTTTTCATCTTCCCCGACATAGCCCGGGATCTACTCTCCAAACCAGATCTAACGGTAGGGTTTTTTCATCTTCCCCGACATAGCACGGGATTTACTCTCCAAACCAGATCTAACGGTAGGGTCTTTTCATCTTCCCCGACATAGCCCGGGATCTACTCTCCAAACCAGATCTAACGGTAGGGTCTTTTCATCTTCCCCGACATAGCCCGGGATCTACTCTCCAAACCAGATCTAACGGTAGGGTCTTTTCATCTTCCCCGACACAGCCCGGGATCTACTCTCCAAACCAGATCTAACGGTAGGGTCTTTTCTCTCCAAACCAGATCTAACGGTAGGGTCTTTTCATTTTCCCCGACATAGCCCGGGATCTACTCTCCAAACCACATCTAACGGTAGGGTCTTTTCATCTTCCCCGACATAGCCCGGGATCTACTCTCCAAACCAGATCTAACGGTAGGGTCTTTTCATCTTCCCCGACATAGCCCGGGATCTACTCTCCAAACCAGATCTAACGGTAGGGTCTTTTCATCTTCCCCGACACAGCCCGGGATCTACTCTCCAAACCAGATATAACGGTAGGGTCTTTTCATCTTCCCCGACACAGCCCGGGATCTACTCTCCAAACCAGATCTAACGGTAGGGTCTTTTCATCTTCCCCGACACAGCCCGGGATCTACTCTCCAAACCAGATATAACGGTAGTGTCTTTTCATCTTCCCCGACACAGCCCGGGATCTACTCTCCAAACCACATCTAACGGTAGGGTCTTTTCATCTTCCCCGACATAGCCCGGGATATACTCTCCAAACCAGATCTAACGGTAGGGTCTTTTCATCTTCCCCGACATAGCCCGGGATTTACTCTCCAAACCAGAACTAACGGTAGGGTCTTTTCATCTTCCCCGACATAGCCCGGGATCTACTCTCCAAACCAGATCTAACGGTAGGGTCTTTTCATCTTCCCCGACATAGCCCGGGATCTACTCTCCAAACCACATCTAACGGTAGGGTCTTTTCATCTTCCCCGACATAGCCCGGGATATACTCTCCAAACCAGATCTAACGGTAGGGTCTTTTCATCTTCCCCGACATAGCCCGGGATCTACTCTCCAAACCAGAACTAACGGTAGGGTCTTTTCATCTTCCCCGACATAGCACGGGATCTACTCTCCAAACCAGATCTAACGGTAGGGTCTTTTCATCTTCCCCGACATAGCCCGGAGTCTACTCTCCAAACCAGATATAACGGTAGGGTCTTTTCATCTTCCCCGACATAGCCCGGGATCTACTCTCCAAACCAGATCTAACGGTAGGGTCTTTTCATTTACATACTTTAATAATAATCAGCAATGATTTTGGAGAACATGATGATTCAGGCGGGAGCACAGGGGCCTGTATCAATGTTTGTGGGGAATGAGGGGTTGTATGGTATACTATCACAGGGGCCTGTAACAATGTTTGTGGGGGATGAGGGTTTGGTCTGTTATACTATCACAGGGGCCTGTAACAATGTTTGGGGGGAAGAGGATTGGTATGTTATTCTCTCACAGGGGCCTGTAACAATGTTTCTAGGGGATGAGGGGTTGTATGGTATACTATCAAAGGGGTCTGTAACAATGTCTAGGGGATGAGGGTCTGTATGGTATACTATCACAGGGGTCTGTAACAATGTCTAGGGGATGAGGGGTTGTATGTTATACTATCACAGGGGTCTATTACAATGTTTCTAGGGGATGAGGGTCTGCATGGTATACTATCACAGGGGCCTGTATCAATGTTTGTGGGGGATGAGGGTCTGTATGGTATACTATCACAGGGGCCTGTAACAATGTTTCTAGGGGATGAGGGTCTGTATGTTATACTATCACAGGGGCCTGTAACAATGTTTGTGGGGGATGAGGGTTTGTATGTTATACTATCACAGGGGCCTGTAACAATGTTTCTAGGGGATGAGAGGTTGTATGTAATACTATCACAGGGGCCTGTATCAATGTTTCTAGGGGATGAGGGTTTGTATGTAATACTATCACAGGGCCTATTACAATGTTTCTAGGGGATGAGGGTTGGTCTGTTATACTATCACAGGGGCCTGTATCAATGATTGTGGGGGATGAGGGTCTGTATGTTATACTATCACAGGGGCCTGTATCAATGTTTCTAGGAGATGAGGGGTTGTATGTTATACTTTGACTTCTAAAAGGGAGCGACGAAATATCAGAGAAAAATGCACTACCCTTAAAAAAGTCTCCGGTATTCGGCTAAATACTGTTCATTTTTACATCTATGGTGAAGATCGGAGGTGGTTCATACTCGTGGAGGTCTGTGTTACTCAGAAAGCTGAGAAACTGGACCACCATGTGCTGTTGGGGCTATGTCCACGAGTACGACAGTTGTTTCCGTCATGCGACGGGCCTCCTGCATGTTAATCAGTGATGATAACCACTGGTCACTACATGGAGATCCCGTCTCAAAGTGACCCCTGGCGATACACCTCGCAAACAAACAATTCTGTTTTAATTTTGCAGCACGCTCTGAGCCAAAGCTACGATGAAGTCGGGGTTATGTTTGCCGCTTGCCCCCATTTTGATGAATTCTACACAGAAAATTGTAACTATGAAGACGGCATGGGATGTGTACGCTTCCTCAACGAAATAATTTCGGATTATGACGAGGTAGGAGTATAAGGTCCTCGCATGTTTTCATTGTTTCTGTTTCTGTTCCCTTCAATAGCGCTAATTATCCTTGATTAAGTCCTAAATTTTTTTTCTGAATTCTCTACAAAAACAATGGTTTAATTTAATAACTTAGCGTCATTTCAAGAGAGAGAGGAAACATTGCAATAAGTCAATGACAAGTTTTGTATTTAATCTCATTATTCCATGGTATGCTCTTAATCAAATATGGTGTTTTCTAAGACTTCTAAGTTATAAGAGTTCTAAGACTAGAAAGGGATCCCGATAGCCGAACATGATAGGTTGTCAGGCGATGGACCTCCCGTATGTTGTTCAATGAGGTAGCCACCAACAACTACAACGAAACTCAAAATGACCCTGGCTGTTGACGGGGTGATAAAATTATACGACATTATGTAGTTCTGTTTAACACCCTAAGAAATTTTAAGATTTAGAGCCTGGTCAGTTGAGATCGAATCTAATACTTTTGTGTGTGTTTGTCTTCATTTTGGTAAATGTATTATCTCATTGTCAATTATGTTTACTTTCATTATCAAACTGGTGACCTGCAAACTGAAGTTATGGTTTCCATTATGTGCGCCCTTTATTCCACTGCAATTCCTTAGTGTTGACAGCTGTGGACAGTTTGGGAGTTATGTGATCTATGACCTACTGACCACTTGTATGGTCACTGCAGACCTATTGACCACATATGCTGACAGTTGTATATTGTTGTTTAGTTGATACAGGAACCGGAGTTTAAAAATCTGTGCAAGATCAAAACGATTGGTGCTACATACATGGTTGCGAGTGGCCTCCAGAAACATTTCGACTGTACCAACACGGAGGTAGGTACATATAGAGGTTAGTGGCCTCCGGAAACATTTTGGCTGTACCTACACGGAGGTAGGTACATATAGAGGTTAGTGGCCTCCGGAAACATTTTGGCTGTACCTACACGGAGGTAGGTACATATAGAGGTTAGTGGCCTCCGGAAACATTTTGGCTGTACCTACACGGAGGTAGGTACATATAGAGGTTAGTGGCCTCCGGAAACATTTCGACTGTACCAACACGGAGGTAGGTACATATAGAGGTTAGTGGCCTCCGGAAATATTTTGGCTGTACCTACACGGAGGTAGGTACATATAGAGGTTAGTGGCCTCCGGAAACATTTTGGCTGTACCTACACGGAGGTAGGTACATATAGAGGTTAGTGGCCTCCGGAAACATTTTGGCTGTACCTACACGGAGGTAGGTACATATAGAGGTTAGTGGCCTCCGGAAACATTTTGGCTGTACCTACACGGAGGTAGGTACATATAGAGGTTAGTGGCCTCCGGAAACATTTTGGCTGTACCTACACGGAGGTAGGTACATACAGAGGTTAGTGGCCTCCGGAAACTTTTGACTGTATCTACACGGAGGTAGGTACATATAGAGGTTAGTGGCCTCCGGAAACGTTTTGACTGTACCTACACGGAGGTAGATAAAGATAGGGTTAGTGGCCCCCAGAAACATTTTGGCTGTACCTACACTGAGGTAGGTAAATGTAGAGGTTAGTGGTCTCCAGAAAGATTTCGTCTGTACCTACACGGAGGTAGGTAAATGTAGAGGTTAGGGATCTTCAGAAACATTTCGTATGTACCTACACGAAGGTAGGTAAATGTAGAGGTTAGGGGCATCCAGAAAGATTTTGGCTGTACCTACACGGAGGTAGGTAAATGTAGAGGTTAGGGGCCTCCAGAAATATTTCAGCTGTACCTACACGGAGGTAGGTAAATGTAGAGGTTAGGGGCCTCCAGAAATATTTCGGCTGTACCGCTCCTATGAGAAACGTAGCCGAGCACTATATGCAAATACTCTTTGGGTTTTCTATGATGTTAAATGATATATGATGTACAATGATATGGTATGATATATGCAATATAATATGATAGTATGTGATATATGGGCAAGAATTCTCTAATGAAATTTTAGTGTCAAAGTAGTTTATCCAATAAAAAACAAACAAAATCATGCACGAATGGAGAATAAACATTGTTTAAATATTAAAGTTGGTTTATTTTTATCGTCATATGAAAAAACAAATTCATCTAATGGATTAAATAACAAGGAAGCAGCACAAGTTGTACGCCGCCAGTGGATAAATTATAGGCAAAAAGTGTGACATTTCTGCAGTAGTGAAACTCCGAGTCGTATTTATTAAATGCCTGAAGAATTGTGGTGCTGTAAAAGTTGTTAATCAACTGCAAAATGATCGGTCTATCGATAAAAACGCTTGTTTTGTACAGGATTTGATTAATGCTGCAAAAAATAGGATTGAAAATAGACCAATGTTCGGTAAATATATCAGGTAATAAGATATAATTAATTTTCGTGTCCAAACTACCCTAAAATACCCCCTCTATTTGGAACAGTTGTATTTCTGTAACAGATCGCGTAACGATAATGTTTTTTGAGATATTTCGACCCGCTCCCAGTAACGTTAACACGTGACTATGCAGTTTTCCAAAATAGCGTCTATCGGTGTAGAGGAACTCGAGGAGACCATTAATCTGGTAATTTTGATCACGTAATGAAGTGTTACGAACACATTCGGAGTAAAATATGTTGTGTGATTTTTTCGTCGTATTTTTGGTATTTGAAACAGTTTTGACCTCACGATAGCGATTTTTTGGTGGGAACGATTTCCGTACGTATCCTTGACCCGAAAAGAAATAGTTGTACGTTTTTGGTGTCAATGTTACATGCGACTACTTAAACGATATTACATCAGCAATGTCACACTTAGTGCTACATTAGCTAATTCTTGCCCATATGTGATAGCATATTTGATACGATTAACCAATAGCAGAAGTTTAACAGGTCAATAACGAGATACAATTGTAGCTTGAAATACATATATTTCTTAATAAAAAAATATTCTTAACGTTGTTGAAATGTATAGGGTTTTTTTATCAGGAAAATGATAGAAGCAGACGTAGAGAACATCTTGCTTTACTCGTACGATTTGCGTTGAAAATGATGGATGTTGTGGAGAGCATATCACAGGAATCATTCACAAACTTCAAACTTAGAATCGGTAAGTGTTTGTACAGGAAGGTATGTATGTAGGTGTTTGTACAGGAAGGTATAGAGGTAGGTGTTTGTACAGGAAGGTATATATGTAGGTGTTTGTACAGGAAGGTATGTATGTAGGTGTTTGTACAGGAAGGTATGTATGTAGGTGTTTGTACAGGAAGGTATATATGTAGGTGTTTGTACAGGAAGGTATGTATGTAGGTGTTTGTACAGGAAGGTATGTATGTAGGTGTTTGTACAGGAAGGTATGTATGTAGGTGTTTGTACAGGAAGGTATGTATGTAGGTGTTTGTACAGGAAGGTATATATGTAGGTGTTTGTACAGGAAGGTATGTATGTAGGTGTTTGTACAGGAAGGTATATATGTAGGTGTTTGTACAGGAAGGTATATATGTAGGTGTTTGTACAGGAAGGTCTGTATGTAGGTGTTTGTACAGGAAGGTATATATGTAGGTGTTTGTACAGGAAGGTATGTATGTAGGTGTTTGTACAGGAAGGTATATATATAGGTGTTTGTACAGGAAGGTATATATGTAGGTGTTTGTACAGGAAGGTATGTATGTAGGTGTTTGTACAGGAAGGTATGTATGTAGGTGTTTGTACAGGAAGGTATGTATGTAGGTGTTTGTACAGGAAGGTATGTATGTAGGTGTTTGTACAGGAAGGTAGGTGTTTGTACAGGAAGGTATATATGTAGGTGTTTGTACAGGAAGGTATGTATGTAGGTGTTTGTACAGGAAGGTATAGAGGTAGGTGTTTGTACAGGAAGGTATATATGTAGGTGTTTGTACAGGAAGGTATGTATGTAGGTGTTTGTACAGGAAGGTATATATGTAGGTGTTTGTACAGGAAGGTATATATGTAGGTGTTTGTACAGGAAGGTATATATGTAGGTGTTTGTACAGGAAGGTGTTCCTATTTAGATGTGATCCTACGGGAAGCATCTATCTATCTAGACATATTTATTCCTATTTAGATGTGATCCTACAGGAACCACCTATCTATATAGACATATTCATTCCTATTTAGATGTGATCCTACGGGAACCATCTATCTATATAGACATATTCATTCCTATTTAGATGTGATCCTACAGGAACCATCTATCTATGTAGACATATTCATTCCTATTTAGATGTGATCCTACGGGAACCATCTATCTATATAGACATATTCATTCCTATTTAGATGTGATCCTACAGGAAATGTTTCCAGTTATACGTGTTTACGTCATTAAGATACAAACACGCACAAAGAAATGTAATGGGGATAAAATACACATTGTAATGTCGGTCATTTCCTCTATACTGACAGATAATAACATCATTACGAGGAAAGGTTTACGACAGCGGATCGGGTGATCTGAACCCTACCATATCTGTCAGCACATCAGGATGTTCATATTTAATCCGAATTTATGTGATTATTTCAGTAATGTGGTTGTATACCAGGTATTTTAACCCAATTAAACATATCAAGTATTATAAATATTTTTTCCACAATTTGTATCTGTTACCCCTCTATGTTGTACTATATGTTATACAAAAGACCAGCAACAACCGTTCTCAAGTACAAATGTTGAGTATTAACACAAGTTACAACAATGATAACATGTATGGCCTGAGTATCGAGCTTAACAAGTTACTCCTTCCACGGCCACACCAGGACTGACTCTATTTGCTGTCATCTTACAGTTTATCCTAAAGTAATTATAATCTAATTCTGATAGGGAAAGTGTCTTCTACTGATCTACAATTAAACCGTGACCAGTTAATGTCTCACTGGTGGAGAGCATGTCCAGCCAATGTTTCACGGCATGATTCTGACACTAAGGTGACCGCAATTAAACTATCTGTCTGATAAGCCAGACGGTCACATTAAGATTTAACACAAATTATGTTCTACACTTGATGGTTAAGAAAACATGTATTATCTTGACTTTTTTAAGTCATCAGTAATCTGATAGTTTTCATTATCAATTTGATTCCGTAACAGCAAATCTGCGTCTCCTCTTTCACTTTTATTTTTGTTTTTATTGATTTCCTAACTTACTTTCTTGAATAAAAGTTGTTAACACATCCGGAGAACTATAAATACGGACCATTTCCTGCCATGTCATTGAAGTCATTGACAGCATCGCAGAATAGCATCCTCGGGTGAAGATCCGAGGATTGTGGTTCGATCACAGTCCCTGATCTGCATTTCTCAAGAAGTTAAGATCATTAAAAGTCTGCGAAATGAACAAAAGAAAGAAAAAAAATTAGTTAAAAAGAATAAAAGAAAAGTCCGGGTGTTTGCTAGAATAAGAATTGTGGTCGACGAAGAATCGAAACCTGAGGTTCGAAAAACCTCAGAGAAGGCCATAAGCCCATAAAAAGAATAAAAAATAATTTCGATCAACCATGTGACCATCACTTGGTATAATTGCCCCCAATAAGGAAATTAACAGTAAACCCACATGACGAATCGTCCCGGGTATGTAGGAATACCCCCGGCATACTTACATACATCATCGCTCTTCAGGCTGCATTTCTCCCCCAAATGTCACGAGATTCCACGCACATGATCACAAGTTTCCTCCCCTTGCGTGCTTCCATCCGAGCCAACAAGCGTGATTAATATATGTTGGACAAACTTACTTCGAAATTATTGTTGAATAAATAAAGATTATTTATTTAAGCATCCATTCTCTCACGAAGTTCGACTTCCAACTTTGTATGGTCAAAAATTTGGTCATTGTTCACATTAATAGAAATCAACAGAAATCTACACGTTTCATTTCTAAACTGATCGGTATGAAACTCCATATATAATCACAAACAACACTTCTTATCCTAGTTTGGCCTTCATTCTTGTGCAGTCAAGTTACAAAGTCATTGTTACTATAAATAGAGACTAACAAAATGTTCACGTCATAGCTCTAAAGGTTGTACGAATTAAAGTTTTGACCTTCAGTGGTTAAAAAATTAGGTCATTTTTACTATAAATAGAAATTTGGATGTCACCGCTAACAAAGTTCCCTGATATCGTTTACATTTAATGATGATGGAAGAGTAAAGTTGGGACAGAAGTTCAGCTGTGGTTTAGATGGTCAGTATATTATTCATCCTGACAAGATGTTTTATCTGGCCGAAACAACAGGGTGAGGACGAGTAGAGTATTCTGTAATCTAACAAATTCCGATAGCATGATATCACATTTCTTATAACGGAAAGAATAAAAATAAAGTGACTTTTAGATAATTCTTTATCTGTTACAGGGATAAACCATGGCCCGTTGACTGCTGGAGTGATAGCTCACAAACCACACTACGATATTTTCGGTAATACCGTCAATGTAGCCAGTCGTATGGAAAGTACAGGGGTCATAGACAAAATACAGGTAGGACATTGTATAACAGGTCATACAGGTATGACATTGTATAACAGGTACTAAAGTACAACATTGTATAACAGGTCATACAGGTACGACATTGTATAACAGGTCATACAGGTACGACATTGTATAACAGGTCATACAGGTACGACATTGTATAACAGGTAATACAGGTACAACATTGTATAGCATATCATACAGGTAGGACATTGTATAACAGGTCATACAGGTAGGACATTGTATAACAGGTCATTCAGGTAGGACATTGTATAACAGGTCATACAGGTACAACATTGTATAACAGGACATACAGGTAGGGCATTGTATAACAGGTCATTCAGGTAGGACATTGTATAACAGGACATACAGGTAGGACATTGTATAACAGGACATACAGGTACGACATTGTATAACAGGTAATACAGGTAGGACATTGTATAACAGGTCATACAGGTAGGACATTGTATAACAGGTCATACAGTTACAACATTGTAAAACGGGTCATACAGGTAGGACATTGTATAACAGGTCATACAGGTACGACATTGTATAACAGGTCATACAGGTAGGACATTGTATAACAGGTCATACAGGTACAACATTGTATAACAGGTCATACAGGTACAACATTGTATAACAGGTACTAAAGTACAACATTGTATAACAGGTCATACAGGTATGACATTGTATAACAGGACATACAGGTACAACATTGTATAACAGGATATACAGGTACAACATTGTATAACAGGTACTAAAGTACAACATTGTATAACAGGTCATACAGGTATGACATTATATAACAGATAATACAGGTAGGCTATGGTACACGGATAATACAGGTGGTACACGGATAATACAGGTGGTACACGGATAATACAGGTAGGTTATGGTACACGGATAATACAGGAAGGCTATGGTACATGAATAATACAGGTGGTACACGGATAATACAGGTAGGTTATGGTACACGGATAATACAGGAAGGCTATGGTACATGAATAATACAGGTGGTACACGGATAATACAGGTAGATTGTGGTACACGGATAATACAGGTAGGCTATGGTACACTGATAATACAGGTAGACTATGGTACACGGATAATACAGGTGGTACACGGATAATACAGGTAGGTTATGGTACACGGATAATACAGGTAGGCTATGGTACACGGATAATACAGGTAGGTTGTGGTACACGGATGATACAGGTAGGTTGTGGTACACGGATAATACAGGTGGTACACGGATAATACAGGTGGTACACGGATGATACAGGTAGGTTGTGGTACACGGATAATACAGGTAGGTTGTGGTACACGGATAATACAGGTGGTACACGGATAATAGAGGTAGGCTATGGTACACGGATAATACAAGTAGGTTGTGGTACACGGATAATACATGTGGTACACGGATAATACAGGTGGTACACGGATAATACAGGTAGGCTATGGTACACGGATAATACAGGTAGGTTTGGTACACGGATAATACAGGTAGGTTTTGGTACACGGATAATACAGGTAGGCTATGATACACGGATAATAGAGGTAGGTTGTGGTACACGGATAATACAGGTAGGCTATGGTACACGGATAATACAGGTAGGTTGTGGCACACGGATAATACAGGTAGGCTATGATACACGGATAATAGAGGTAGGTTGTGGTACACGGATAATACAGGTAGGTTGTGGTACACGGATAATACAGGTAGGCTATGATACACGGATAATAGAGGTAGGTTGTGGTACACGGATAATACAGGTAGGTTGTGGTACACCGATAATACAGGTAGGCTATGGTTCACGGATAATACAGGTAGGTTATGGTACATGGATAATACAGGTAGGTTATGGTACATGGATAATACAGGTAGGCTGTGGTACACGGATAATACAGGTGGTACACGGGTAATACAGATAGGTTGTGGTACACGGATAAAACAGGTAGGCTATGGTACACGGATAATACAGGTAGGTTATGGTACACGGATAATACAGGTAGGTTGTGGTACACGGATAATACAGATAGGTTATGATACACGGATAATAGAGGTAGGTTGTGGTACACGGATAATACAGGTAGGTTGTGGTACACGGATAATACAGGTAGGCTATGATACACGGATAATAGAGGAAGGTTGTGGTACACGGATAATACAGGTAGGTTGTGGTACACGGATAATACAGGTAGGCTATGATACACGGATAATAGAGGTAGGTTGTGGTACACGGATAATACAGGTAGTTTGTGGTACACGGATAATACAGGTAGGCTATGGTACACGGATAATACAGGTAGGCTATGGTACACGGATAATACAGGTAGGTTATGGTACATGGATAATACAGGTAGGCTATGATACAGGATAATAGAGGTAGGTTGTGGTACACGGATAATACAGGTAGGTTGTGGTACACGGATAATACATGTGGTACACGGATAATACAGGTAGGTTGTGGTACACGGATAATACAAGTAGGTTGTGGTACACGGATAATACATTAATATGTCTTGTAAAGTATTTATATAAAAACTGCGAATAAGAAGCAATCAAATAAATTTCAAGTATTTAAAGTACGGGTACTTAATTATTAGATTGATACTTTTGTAAGTTTGATGTACAAATTGTTTACAGATTATAGAGACAATAAACACATACATTAGAGAGATTGTAAAGTGACGTAGATAATAGGTAACCTGGCACATCAAAGAGATATGACGTTAAAATGTATTTAAGGAAGTATATAGGAGTTGGTCAAATGAAGTACGCAATTCAAGGTCATCTATGACGCTGTCTTTTCAGGTGCTGAAGAATACAGCACAGGTTTTACAGAAATATGGCTATAGTTTTAAGTCACGAGGTCCAATAGATGTGAAGGGGAAAGGCAGCCTTGTGACGTATTTATTGTCAAGGTCAGACAGCCATGTTTCTTCCACACGAGAGGATCATCATGGAAGTTAGTCCTGTGTAGCATTCTTACTTATTTACAATGTACATGTGTTGTATTGGTTTGTGGGGTCAGTACTGTAAGCCGGCAACACATCTCACAGAAGGCAATACAAATATGGAATCCAATTAGTGCAATACTGCATATTACATAGGAAGTATTTATAACGCAAGACTGTAAATCTCAACGACCGTGCAGTCACAAATAGCACCGGAAGCCGGCAACACATCTCACAGAAGGCGATACAAATATGGAATGTAATTAGTGCAATACTGCATATTACATAGGGAGTGTAAATCTCAACGACCGTGCAGTCACAAATAGCACCGGAAGCCGGCAACACATCTCACAGAAGGCGATACAAATATGGAATGTAATTAGTGCAATACTGCATATTACATAGGGAGTGTAAATCTCAACGACCGTGCAGTCACAAATAGCACCGGAAGCCGGCAACACATCTCACAGAAAGTAATACAATCACATGAGCATTAAGGGGAAACTTCCTTCGTAAACATCATTTAATAGAAACAGACCATCACGGAGAGAATTACAAATACTTTCGACAACAATTTTCTGTGCAGATGGATTTTTAAAAAAAATATTTATTGCCTTTTTCCTTTTAATTGAAATAAATGTGACGTTGCTATCGTTACCGCTACCAGGCAGAAGAGATAGTGACCAGACTGTTACTGAATCCATTGTATTTCATCCTTACGTACAGGTGATGACAAATTGAAGAGGTTGAAAAGGTGGACGATCCGTTTTATTAGCTTCAATACAGATAACTGCCGTATAGGGAACAGATATCGTTATTTGGCAAATCTAGGGTGTCATCTCTGTGTCACATCTGGGATGTCATCTCTGTGTCACATCTAGGATGTCATCTCTGTGTCATATCTGGGATGTCATCTCTGGGATGTCATTTCTGTGTCACATATCTGATGTCATCGCTGTATCACATCTAGGATGTCATCTTTGTGTCACATCTGTAATGTCATCCCTGTGTCACATCTGTAATGTCATCTCTGTGTCATATCTGTAATGTCATCTCTGTGTCACATCTGTAATGTCATCTCTGTGTCACATGTGTAATGTCATCTCTATGTCATATCTGAGATGTCATCTCTGTGTCACATCTGTAATGTCATCTCTGTCATATCTGGGATGTCATCTCTGTGTCACATCTGCAATGTCATCTCTGTGTCACATCTGGGATGCCATCTCTGTGTCATATCTGGGATGTCATCTCTGTGACACATCTGTAATGTCATGTCTGTGTCACATCTGTAATGTCATCTCTGTGATGTCATCCCTGTGTCACATATCTGATGTCATCGCTGTATCAAATCTAGGATGTCATCTGTGTGTCACATCTGTAATGTCATCTCTGTGTCACATCTGTAATGTCATCTCTGTGTCACATCTGTAATGTCATCTCTGTGTCACATCTGTAATGTCATCTCTGTGTCATATCTGAGATGTCATCTCTGTGTCACATCTGTAATGTCATCTCTGTGTCACATCTGTAATGTCATCTCTGTGTCATATCTGGGATGTCATTTGTGTCACATCTGGGATGTCATCTCTGTAATGTCATCTGTGTCACATCTGTAATGTCATATCTAATGTCATCCCTGTGTCACATATCTGATGTCATCACTGTATCACATCTAGGATGTCATCTTTGTGTCACATCTGTAATGTCATCTCTGTGTCACATCTGTAATGTCATCTCTGTGTCACATCTGTAATGTCATCTCTGTGTCACATCATCTCTGTGTCACATCTGTGTAATGTCATCTCTGTGTCTGTGTCACATCTGTAGATGTCATCTCTGTGTCACATCTGTAATGTCATCTCTGTCACATATGGGATGTCATCTATGTGTCATATCTAGGATGTCATCTCTGTTACATCTGTAATGTCATCTTTGTGTCACATCTGTAATGTCATCTTTGTCGCATCTGGGATGTCATCTCGCATCTGTAATGTCATCTCTGTCACATATGGGATGTCATCTATGTGTCATATCTGTTACATCTGTAATGTCATCTTTGTGTCACATCTGTAATGTCATCTCTGTGATGTCATCTCTGTTCTGTCACATCTGTAATGTCATCTCTGTGTCACATCTGGGATGTCATCTGTCATATCTGTAATGTCATCTCTGTTCTGTGTCACATCTGTCATCTCTGTCATCTGGGATGTCATCTCTGTGTCACATCTGTAATGTCATCTCTGTGTCACATCTGTAATGTCATCTCTGTGTCACATCTGTAATGTCATCTCTGTGTCACATCTGTAATGGCATCTCTGTGTCATATCAATGTCATCTCTGTCATATCTGATGTCATCTCTGTGTCACATCATGACATCTGTAATGTCATCTCTGTGATGTCATCCCTGTGTCACATATCTGATGTCATCGCTGTATCACATCTAGGATGTCATCTGTGTCACATCTGTAATATTATCTCTGTAATGTCATCTCTGTGTCACATCTGTAATGTCATCTCTGTGTCACATCTGTAATTTCATCTCTGTGTCATATCTGGGATGTCATCTCTGTGATGTAATCTGTGTCGCATCTGGGATGTCATCTCTGTGTCACATCTGTAATGTCATTTCTGTGTCACATCTGTAATGTCATCTCTGTGTCACATCTGTAATGTCATCTCTGTGTCACATCTGTAATGTCATCTCTGTGTCATATCTGAGATGTCATCTCTGTGTCACATCTGTAATGTCATCTCTGTGTCACATCTGTAATGTCATCTCTGTGTCACATCTGTGATGTCATGTGTGTCATATCTGTAATGTCATCTTTGTGTCACATCTGGGATGTCATCTCTGTGTCACATCTGGGATGTCATCTCTGTGTCACATCTGTAATGTCATTTCTGTGTCACATCTGTAATGTCATCTCTGTGATGTCATCCCTGTGTCACATATCTGATGTCATCGCTGTATCAAATCTAGGATGTCATCTGTTTGTCACATCTGTAATGTCATCTCTGTGTCACATCTGTAATGTCATCTCTGTGTCACATCTGTAATGTCATCTCTGTGTCACATCTGTAATGTCATCTCTGTGTCACATCTGTAATGTCATCTCTGTGTCACATCTGTAATGTCATCTCTGTGTCACATCTGGGATGTCATCTCTGTGTCACATCTGTAATGTCATCTCTGTGATGTCATCCCTGTGTCACATATCTGATGTCATCGCTGTATCAAATCTAGGATGTCATCTGTGTGTCACATCTGTAATGTCATATCTAATGTCATCCCTGTGTCACATATCTGATGTCATCACTGTATCACATCTAGGATGTCATCTTTGTGTCACATCTGTAATGTCATCTCTGTCATATCTGGGATGCCATCTCTGTGATGTAATCTGTGTCGCATCTGGGATGTCATCTCTGTGTCACATATGTAATGTCATCTCTGTGTCACATCTGTAATGTCATCTCTGTCATATCTGTAATGTCATCTCTGTCACATCTGTAATGTCATCTTTGTCGCATCTGGGATGTCATCTCGCATCTGTAATGTCATCTCTGTGTCACATCTGTAATGTCATCTCTGTGTCACATCTGTGATGTCATCTGCGTCATATCTGTAATGTCATCTCTGTTCTGTGTCACATCTGTAATGTCATCTCTGTGATGTCACATCTGTAATGTCATCTCTGTGTCACATCTTTGATGTCATGTGTCATATCTGTAATGTCATTTGTTCTGTGTCACATCTGGGATGTCATCTCTGTCGCATCTGTGAGACAATTTATTGGTATTGACTCAGATGTTTTTTTGTTCAATTTTGGGCTTAAAGAATTTCACCAAATATTGATATCATGAACAATTATTTTGTAATAAGTGCAGAACATAAAACTCCAACATTCACTACTTATAGTTTGTTTTTATTTTGTTATAATTCTATACATGTGTTATATAACTAGGAAGAGAGATCAACACTACCTGTATCAAAAGTAGAAAAAAAATAGCCATCTCTTAGGTATCAGCATCCTTCAATGATAAATGATCTAAAAATAGCCATCTCTTAGGTATCAGCATCCTTCAATGATGAATGATCTAAATATAGCCATCTCTTAGGTATCAGCATCCTTCAATGATGAATGATCTAAAAATAGCCATCTCTTAGGTATCAGCATCCTTCAATGATAAATGATCTAAAAATAGCAAAATATCCAAGGTGTGATAGAATTTCTCATGGTCACTTTTGAATTTTCATCAAAATAGGCACATTTATGTCTAAATATACACTAATCACTACCTTTGCATTGGAACACATTAACAGTTTTAAAGAACAGAAGAGTACCATCAACTAGAGTTACGCCCCTTTACATCTACAACATGGTGATTTGATTATCTGTGTTTGTGTGGCAAGAACAAGACACGTACATCAAAATTTAATTTTGAAATTTAGAATCTACGTAAGCATTAGGTAATGAAGAGTTCAACCACTGATTAAAAAATGTACAATTCTACAATAAAAAGCCTTGATGGAGACAAAATAACAAATTAAGGTCAAGAACAAATCTTTAACAACCGCAACTTTTTCAAAACAAAACAACATTAAAAACTTAAACCCACAGTGATACCTACTTCAGTAATCCCCTCAAGGAAAATAATAAAGTAATCTGTGAAACTGCTCGATTTAAATCGGAGGCCTTGTGTTTTTTTTTTATTGAAAGGTCTAAATGAACCAATACAACACTTGGAAAAAAATTGCTTTTCACAAATTCATGTGAGGGATACAAAAAGTGACATGATTAGTCTACATACTTATTGACTTAGTAATTAAACTTTGTAAATAATGAATGCGTAGACATTGCAAATACAACAAATTACTCCGTCATCACCTTGTTACCATGGCAACCGATGTAAAAACTACGGATTGCTGTAATTCAACTCTAGTAGTCTAATGGCTTTAGACTTGTAGAGTGAATCAGGATCCTTAATATTGTTTATCATATTGAAAATACTGGTACATTTCTTAAAGAAGAAGTGAAACCAACATAAGGTTCCAGTTTAGAAAACAAAATCAAGGGAGACAATCACCAACCTCTTACAGCAGACTTTTTTCAAACCTGCCAGTCATTCATGAATACACATTTTCAAACACATAAGGCATTAAAAAATAACATTTTGTAAAAGACAATGTTTACAAGTTGATCATCATTATATAGTTTGACCAAATTACCCATAAAAACATTTCAATTATTTTGAATGACAGTGTTGCTATGGTAACACTACATGGATTAGGTTCAGGTGTATTTGTTCAAAGTTGGATGTTATTAGAACATTGTATTGACTAAATGATTAAAGTAATGAAAAATTGTATAACATTCTATAAACAGTAAGGTTCTAAAAATAGTAACAATAATATGGCCAGTTAAAAAAATTAATAAATTCATGTAAATGAAATGAAAAAATTCTATATGGATCTAGAAATACAGCAATCATCTACAACAGCCAATTTGTTGTATGTTAAACATGTCTCGTTACAATGATAAATACACATTCAGCATCTGTATGTTCATATCAGATACACTTTACACTGAGATTCTGACTTCTAAGTCGACAAATAATAAAATTTGCTAATCTGAGTATTTTCTCCATGAAAAAAGATTTTGGTGACAGTTTTTCACTAGAAACTAATTTCTTTCATTTTTGTTCTCAAATGAGTAAATAAATACATTTTTCTTTTTGATCAAAATTGCAAAACAAAAAAAAAGGCATCCAAAAGTCCAAACCTGTACATTATTCAATTCTTGTTTTGTTAAATTTTTTTGACAAATTCCTCCTTTTAAGAGGAACAAGGCACATGACTGAAGGGAGACTTCTGGAGCATGTAGTCTAGGCATTAGTGCCACCGTCTTTTCTCAATCTGTTACATAGACACACCGCAATGATGAAGCAGATCACCTAGACAACAGAAAGAAAAACCATCATTATACAGGATATTAAAAAATCACTTTCTCAAGTAATCTTTTTATCTGTAAACTTACCCATAGATACGGTAAACTTACCCATACATACTGCAAACTTACCCATACATACTGCAAACTTTCCCTATAGATACTGTGAACTTACCCATACATACTACAAACTTACCCATAGATACTGTAAACATACCCATAGATACTGTAAACATACCCATAGATACTGTAAACATACCCATAGATACTGTAAACATACCCATAGATACTGTAAACATATCCATAGATACTGTTAACTTTCCCTATAGATACTGTGAACTTACCCATTGACACTGTAAACATACCCAAAGATACTGTAAACTTACCCATAGATACTGTGAACTTACCCATTGACACTGTAAACATACCCAAAGATACTGTAAACTTACCTCTTAGATGCTTTAAACATACCCATAGATATTGTTAACTTACCCATAGATACTGTTAACTTACCCATAGATACTGTAAACATACCCATAGATACTGTAAACATACCCATACCTACTGTAAACTTACCCTTAGATACTGTAAACATACCCATAGATAATGTTTACATACCCATAGATACTGTAAACATACCCTTAGATACTGTTAACATACCCATAGATACTGTAAACATACCCATAGATACTGTAAACATACCCATAGATACTGTAAACATACCCATAGATACTGTAAACATACCCATAGATACTGTAAACATACCCATACTGTTAACATACCCATAGATACTGTAAACATACCCATAGATACTGTTAACATACCCATAGATACTGTTAACATACCCATAGATACTGTAAACATACCCATAGATACTGTAAACATACCCATAGATACTGTTAACATACCCATAGATACTGTTAACATACCCATAGATACTGTAAACATACCCTTAGATACTGTAAACATACCCATAGATACTGTTAACATACCCATAGATACTGTAAACTTACCTACAGATACTGTTAACTTGTATCACATTATGTATAAGAATCATTAGCTACATTGTATATGTTCTTTCTTACCTCAACTAGCAGGACCACTACTCCAACAATGATGATGTTTCTTGCATTCTTCATAGCAAAGTCCTTGATAGAGTTGTAGCAGGGCTACAAAACACAGATTTTATTAATATATCAGAATCAAGTAAATTCTTCATCCACCCTTTTATCAACATAGCTTGTCCCTTTATTTGATATATACAAAGAAACATCATCAGAAAACTGCATTATCTTACTGGGATAAACAGAGATTTACAATCAGTATAAAAGATCCAATTTATTTACAACTTAACCACACAGTAGAGTAACAGGAAATGCAATTTAGAACTGAGAGTTTACCTTGTTGATGTAAGAGTTGGTTGTGTCTGGCGATCGCTGACAGTTTGGATCCCTGGCCTCAGCCTGGGAAGGATTGCTTGAATAATCATCCTTGTTTCGTAGGACACAACATGACAGAGGAATAGTGGCATTGCCCCTGTTCCACTTGGTTGCATTCAGGAATTCCTTGTGACTGTCTACTCCACAGCAGTCAAACTATGAACGAGAAATAACAAAGACTTAGAATTAAGAATTTATCATATAATGTTTGAAACATGTCTTTATTGAAGATATTTCTGATGTAACATGTCTTTATAGAAGATATATCTGATGTAACATGTCTTTACAGAAGATATTTCTGATGTAACATGTCTTTACAGAAGATATTTCTGATGTAACATGTCTTTACAGAAGATATTTCTGATGTAACATGTCTTTGTGGAAGATATATCTGATGTAACATGTCTTTACAGAAGATATATCTGATGTAACATGTCTTTACAGAAGATATTTCTGATGTAACATGTCTTTACAGAAGATATATCTGATGTAACATGTCTTTACAGAAGATATATCTGATGTAACATGTCTTTACAGAAGATATTTCTGATGTAACATGTCTTTGAGGAAGATTTATATCTTCTACTTTAAATAAATCTTGTACTGATAATTTTACTGTATTAACATGTCATGAAATTATCTGACAACACATTTTTCCTTCCCACTAAAGTTTTGTTTTTTTGTGAAGAAATGAATTAAGCAGCTCATCCATAAGGTAACTATAAATGCTATCTAAAAAGTATGAACACCTGAACATACTACAATATCAATATCACAGATATGACATGTTCTGATATCATTTCGTGTCAACAAATTCTTTCAATAATCTTTTTAATCTTGAATTTGACAGAATCATCAGTCTGTAAATCAACATGTTATTGCTTAGATAAATCTTCGTCATATTATAGATTATTTTCAAATATCTCAATAAAATTTCTAGTGCTAGCATAACGTAATAACATCTATACTGTTGGCATTGTAATGACTTATCCATATTTCTAGTGCTAGCATAACGTAATAACATCTACACTGTTGGAATTGTAATGACTTATCTATATTTCTAGTGCTAGCATAGCGTAATAACATCTACACTGTTGGCATTGTAATCACTGATATTGTCACAAAAAAAACACTATTAATTAATTTCAATAACTGATGTGAATTAAACAATTAAAAGCTGTAAAACATCAATAATTAAATTGCAGTCCAATTTTTTAGAATGCACAGTAAACATAAACTAGTCAAACCTGTCTATAAAGGTCAGCAATGTGACTGAAAAAAACTGTCCTTACTAGGGATGTGTCCTCTGTATAGAGATATGGAGTAGGACACCTGTTTGTAAAACAATACAGAAGATGTTATAAAAAGGTATCTACTCTAGACAGTTTGATGCACAGTAGAGTAACTGACCTGGACCTGGGTAGCATCAATGAAAAAGGTGAAAGTGTCCTTTGTTCCAGTTCCATCATAATCTTCCATAATGTGTTTCTTGAGACCACTTTTAAGTTCATCAGTCACCTGTAACAATAACAAGCTTAAAATAGTAAACAACCTTAAATATTGTATCACTGATGGATAGCAATTATGTGTAAATCACTGACTGGAACACAGCAGTCACAATGATGCTGGTTATATCAATAATCTTACCTGTGATTGGAATGCTGCAGTCACAATGATGCTGGTTATATCAATAATCTTACCTGTGATTGGAATGCTGCAGTCACAATGATGCTGGTTATATCAATAACCTTACCTGTGATTGGAATGCTGCAGTCACAATGATGCTGGTTATATCAATAATCTTACCTGTGATTGGAATGCTGCAGTCACAGTGAGGCTGGTTATATCAATAATCTTACCTGTGATTGGAATGCTGCAGTCACAGTGATGCTGGTTATATCAATAATCTTACCTGTGATTGGAATGCTGCAGCCACAGCAATACCAGCTATCTCAATGATGATAATGACCAAAACAACCGCAGCATACTGCAAAAATATGTCAGCTTATCAGTTGATTACCTAGTCAAAATGTACTGTCTACAGTCTGTATGTACCATGTCTACAGTATGTACCATGTCTACCATGTCTACAGTATGTACCATGTCTACAGTCAGTATATACCATGTCTATAGTCAATATGTACCATATCTTCAGTCAGTATATACCATGTCTATAGTCAGTATGTATCATGTCGTCAGTATGTACCATGTCTACAGTCAGTATGTACCATGTCTACAGTATGTACCATGTCTACAGTCAGTATGTACCATGTCTACAGTCAGTATGTACCATGTCTACAGTCAGTATGTACCATGTCTACAGTTAGTATGTACCATGTCTACAGTATGTACCATGTCTACAGTATGTACCATGTCTACAGTCAGTATGTACCATGTCTACAGTCAGTATGTACCATGTCTACAGTTAGTATGTACCATGTCTACAGTATGTACCATGTCTACAGTCAGTATGTATCATGTCTACAGTCAGTATGTATCATGTCTACAGTATGTACCATGTCTTCAGTATGTACCATGTCTACAGTCAGTTGCACCACGTCTACAGTCAGTATGTACCATGTCTACAGTCAGTATGTAACATGTCTACAGTCAGTATATACCATATTTACAGTCAGTATGTACCATGTCTCCTGTATGTACCATGTCTACAGTCAGTTATACCATGTCTACAGTCAGTATGTACCATGTCTCCTGTATGTACCATGTCTACAGTCAGTATGTACCATGTTTACAGTATCTACCATGTCTACAGTCAGTATGTACCATGTCGTTAGTATACCTATGTACCATGTCTACGCGGAGTCATTTATTTACATAGGTTAAAATGTTTGCAATTTTCTTTGAAAATGTGAGAACAAACAAGAAAGACAAATTACATTTCATCACCGACACACTGCCTTACCAAATTAACCCTTACAACAGGTTCCAGTGATTTGAAGTGTAGCAGATAGAGCTTAAACAATATTTTTCTTTTGATGTAGGTAAAAGGTAAACAATATAAGTCAGAATGACCTACTTTTGATAAGGACACACCATCTCACTAAACTGAACCCATACCCTAAGTATGAAGTTCAAATGACTCAGTTATTGGTAGGTCGGATGAATGGACAGAAAAATGACTGGAGCTACTATAAAATCATATCTTTGTGGGCCATAATTGTCATGGTGCTTCACAAAATCATAACTTTTTCCTGAACATTTGATTTTGTTGATAAGTATAGCTCAATAAAACTATGTATACAGACTAATTTAAAAATTTCACGAAGACATGAATTCTTCTACCTACAAAATAACGATAAATCCTTCAGAAAATTTAGGATTTGACAGTATATGTCACCACTGTGTTAAATAACCCTTAATTCACTTACAATTCCCAGCATGCACACATTCTCCTTATAGGCACCACAACATCCAATGAAGCCAATCAGAAACAGAATGACGCCAGTAACTATGATAATCACGGACGATGACTGGACAAGAGTGGACTGGTCCAGGGATAACTTCAGCAGGCTAAACAGATTGCTGTCTTCCACCATCGACACGATCCCTACTACCAGGGCTGCTATACCAACAATCTACAAATAACAAGAACACAGTCTTATATGAACAAATGTCTGTCCTCAAACACAAACGTCTGTCCTCAAACACAAACGTCTGTCCACAGACACAAACAAACATCTGTCATCTTACAGACACAGACAAATTTCTGTATGAAGAACCATAGACATTTGTCTGTCCACATACAGACAAAACCAGACAAATGTCTTTCTGCAGAAAAACACAAATAAACAAATAAATACGTAGACAATGTCTCTCTTTATATAAACATGAATAGACATGTGTCACAATATAGACATGAATAGACAAGTGTCTATCCAGACAAACACAAATAGACAAGTGTCTGTCTAGACAAACACAAATAGACAAATGTCTGTCCAGACAAACACAAATAGACAAATGTCTGTCCAGACAAACACAAATGGACAAATGTCTGGCCAGACAAACACAAATAGACAAATGTCTGTCCAGACAAACACAAATGGACAAATGTCTGGCCAGACAAACACAAATAGACAAATGTCTGTCTAGACAAACACAAACAGACAAATGTCTGGCCAGACAAACACAAATAGAAAAATGTCTGTCCAGACAAACACAAATGGACAAATGTCTGGCCAGACAAACACAAATAGACAAATGTCTGTCCAGACAAACACAAATGGACAAATGTCTGGCCAGACAAACACAAATAGACAAATGTCTGTCTAGACAAACACAAACACAAACAGACAAACACAAATGTCTGGACAAATGTCAGACAAACACAAATAGAAAAATGTCTGTCCAGACAAACACAAATGGACAAATGTCTGTCTAGACAAACACAAACAGACAAATGTCTGGCCAGACAAACACAAATAGAAAAATGTCTGTCCAGACAAACACAAATGGACAAATGTCTGGCCAGACAAACACAAATAGAAAAATGTCTGTCCAGACAAAAACAAATAGACAAATGTCTGGCCAGACAAACACAAATGGACAAATGTCTGGCCAGACAAACACAAATAGACAAATGTCTGTCTAGACAAACACAAACAGACAAATGTCTGGCCAGACAAACACAAATAGAAAAATGTCTGTCTAGACAAACACAAATAGACAAATGTCTGGCCAGACAAACACAAATAGACAAATGTCTGTCCAGACAAACACAAATGGACAAATGTCTGGCCAGACAAACACAAATAGACAAATGTCTGTCTAGACAAACACAAACAGACAAATGTCTGGCCAGACAAACACAAATAGAAAAATGTCTGTCCAGACAAACACAAATGGACAAATGTCTGGCCAGACAAACGCAAATAGAAAAATGTCTGTCCAGACAAAAACAAAGAGACAAATGTCTGTCCAGACAAACACAAATGGACAAATGTCCGTCCAGACAAACACAAATAGACAAATGTCTGTCCAGACAAACACAAATGGACAAATGTCTGGCCAGACAAACACAAATAGAAAAATGTCTGTCCAGACAAACACAAATAGATAAGTGTCTGTCCAGACAAAAACAAATAGACAAATGTCTGTCCAGACAAACACAAATGGACAAATGTCCGTCCAGACAAACACAAATAGACAAATGTCTGTCCAGACAAACACAAATGGACAAATGTCCGTCCAGACAAACACAAATAGACAAATGTCTGTCCAGACAAACACAAATAGACAAATGTCCGTACAGACAAACATAAATAGACAAGTATCTGTCCAGATAAACACAAATAGACAAATGTCTGGACAAACATAAATAGACAAATGTCTGTCCAGACAAACACAAAAAGACAAATATCTGTCCAGACAAACATAAATAGACAAATGTCTGTCCAGACACACATAAATAGACAAATGTCTGTCCAGACAAACACAAAAAGACGAAGTGTCACAAGATAGACACAAATAGACAAATGTCTGTCCAGAAAAACACAGGGCTCTCACATCCCATTTTGGGACTGAGGCCCGGGGCCTTAGAATTGGGAAAAATAACATTGTTTTCCTTAGAATTTGGAAAACTTGGGGTATAAATTGGGAAAAAAGATACTATTTTCCATTGGGAATGGGGCCGAATATCGGCCCCAAATCAGAGCCCTGAAACACAAATAGACAAATGTCTGTCCAGACAAACACAAATAGACAAGTGTCACAAGAAAGACACAAATAGACGAGTGTCCCCAGATAGACACAAACAGAAAAATGTCTGTCCAAACGGACACACTAACCAATGTCTGCCCATATACAGACAAAAATGTATATGTAACATGCAAAAACAAAAAGACAAAAATCTTTCCACATAGATAAGCACTTGTCATCAAACAGACACAAAATCTCTAAATGCTGGGATATGATTATTGCTACCATTTCTGTTCCTTTTCATAAATCTTAAAATTCAATCAACTTAAAAGATAAAACAGGAGCTGGAGAATCCTGTGTTTATTCAATAGTTTTTCTTCAGGAGATAATATCAATGTAATGTTTGAGTGGCTTGAAATTTCTAATATGTATGAAAAACAACTGCTTTGAGTCATGGAAATTTCAATTTGAAGTCGGGAAATGAAATAATATTTGAGAAGAAATCATGTAAGATGTAAAGAAAATCATCAGTAACAATAACTCACACATATAATCAAATTGAAGGCAAACAGGAGATACTTCAGGCATTTTAATCCACAATTCAACTCCATCTTGATATTTCAGCTTCTGAAAAATATAACAATTATGAAAAATTCAACAGGATTTTCATTCAACACTAAAGTAAGACGACACATTAAAAGTATTGTGAAGTGTTTGAAAATATCATCACTCCCCTTTGTCAAAATCTGGCATAAATTGAATAATGAAATAATTGTCTCCAGACAGGAAATTGTGTTTGTATAAGGGATATATGTTGAAGATTTTATGCTAATTAAGTCTATTGCCTGTGTACAGTCAAGGTCATTTTAGGTGGAGTCTCTATGTAGTAGCCGATAGGGTGAAAGCATTTCAGACAGAGTCTCCATGTAGTAGCTGATAGGGTGAAAGCATTTCAGACAGTCTCCATGTAGTAGCTGATAGGGTGAAAGCATTTCAGACAGAGTCTCCATGTAGTAGCTGATAAGGTGAAACTCAAGACACAGTCATCTGACTATAAACTCAATTAATGATATTTTAGCCATAATAAGTGAGAACAACTCAAAATGATAAAAAAAGTCTATATTTCAAAGGCACCAAAAACAACCACACTATTTTGATTTAAATTTCTCTACAAATCTACAAACTTTCAGATCAATTACAGCAGGAGAACTTCACAATAAATCTAAAATGTGCTTTTAGCCATTTTAGCATTTAAGATTTTAGCCATCATGGCACTATTTGATTTTGGACAAACCTGAAAAATAGCACTTAAAGGTTTAAAATATGAAAAGTCTACACAAAATGCACAAGGATGGATGAATCACGTTTATAAAAGCAAATAAATACAGAGCATATCTTGGGTACAACTGAACAAATGACTAAATGTTACCAGGGGTAACAGTGGACATGTGACTAAGTGTTACCAGGGGTAACAGTGGACATGTGACTAAGTGTTACTAGGGGTAACAGTGGACATGTGACTAAGTGTTACCAGGGGTAACAGTGGACATGTGACTAAGTGTTACCAGGAGTAACGGTGGACATATGACCAACATTACCAGGGGTACCAGTACTAAGTGTTACCAGGGGTATCGGTGGACATATGACTAACATTACCAGGGGTTCTAGTACTAAGTGTTACAAGGGGTAACAGTGGACATATGACTAACATTACCAGGGGTACCAGTACTAAGTGTTACCAGGGGTAACAGTGGACATATGACTAAGTGTTACCAGGGGTAACAGTGGACATATGACTAACATTACCAGGGGTACCAGTACTAAGTGTTACCAGGGGTAACAGTGGACATATGACTAACATTACCAGGGGTAACAGTGGACATATGACTAATATTACCAGGGGTAACAGTGGACATATGACTACCCAAGTGTTACCAGGGGTAACAGTGGACATATGATTAACATTACCTGGGGTACCAGTGGACATATGACTAAGTGTTACCAGGGGTAACAGTGGACATATGACTAACATTACCAGGGGTAACAGTGGACATATGACTAAGTGTTACCAGGGGTAACAGTGGACATATGACTAAGCGTTACCAGGGGTAACAGTGGACATATGACTAACATTACCAGGGGTACCAGTACTAAGTGTTACCAGGGGTAACAGTGGACATACCAGGGGTACCAGTACTAAGTGTTACCAGGGGTAACAGTGGACATATGACTAACATTACCAGGGGTACCAGTACTAAGTGTTACCAGGGGTAACAGTGGACATATGACTAACATTACCAGGGGTAACAGTGGACATATAACTAAGTGTTACCAGGGGTAACAGTGGACATATGACTACCCAAGTGTTACCAGGGGTAACAGTGGACATATGACTAACATTACCTGGGGTAACAGTGGACATATGACTAAGTGTTACCAGGGGTAACAGTGGACATATGACTAACATTACCAGGGGTAACGGTGGACATATGACTAAGTGTTACCAGGGGTAACAGTGGACATATGACTATGTGTTACCAGGGGTAACGGTGGACATGTGACTAGTAACAGTGGACATATGACTAAGTGTTACCAGGAGTAACAGTGGACATGTGACTAAGTGTTACCAGGGGTAACAGTGGACATATGACTAACATTACCAGGGGTACCAGTACTAAGTGTTACCAGGGGTGACGGTGGACATATGACTAACATTACCAGGGGTACCAGTACTAAGTGTTACCAGGGGTGACAGTGGACATATGACTAACATTAGGGGTACCAGTACTAAGTGTTACCAGGGGTAACGGTGGACATATGACTAACATTACCAGGGGTACCAGTACTAAGTGTTACCAGGGGTAACAGTGGACATATGACTAAGTGTTACCAGGGGTAACAGTGGACATATGATTATTATTACCAGGGGTACAAGTGGACATATGACTAAGTGTTACCAGGGGTAACAGTGGACATGTGACTAGTAACAGTGGACATATGACTAAGTGTTACCAGTAGTAACAGTGGACATGTGACTAAGTGTTACCAGGGGTAACAGTGGACATATGACTAAGTGTTACCAGGGGTAACAGTGGACATATGACTAAGTGTTACCAGGGGTAACAGTGGACATATGACTAAGTGTTACCAGGGGTAACAGTGGACATATGACTAACATTACCAGGGGTAGTGGACATATACTAAGTGTTACCAGGGGTAACAGTGGACATATGACTAAGTGTTACCAGGGGTAACAGTGGACATATGACTAAGTGTTACCAGGGGTAACAGTGGACATATGACTAAGTGTTACCAGGGGTAACAGTGGACATATGACTACTAAGTGTTACCAGGGGTAACAGTGGACATATGACTAACTAAGTACTAAGTGTTACCAGGGGTAACAGTGGACATATGACTAACATTACCAGGGGTAACAGTACTAAGTGTTACCAGGGGTAACGGTGGACATATGACTAACATTACCAGGGGTAACGGTGGTACTAAGTGTTACCAGGGGTAACAGTGGACATATGACTAAGTGTTACCAGGGGTAACAGTGGACATATGACTAAGTGTTACCAGGGGTAACAGTGGACATATGACTAAGTGTTACCAGGGGTAACAGTGGACATATGACTAAGTGTTACCAGGGGTAACAGTGGACATGTGACTAAGTGTTACCAGGGGTAACAGTGGACATGTGACTAGTAACAGTGGACATATGACTAAGTGTTACCAGTAGTAACAGTGGACATGTGACTAAGTGTTACCAGGGGTAACAGTGGACATATGGCTAAGTGTTACCAGGGGTAACAGTGGACATATGACTAACATTACCAGGGGTACCAGTACTAAGTGTTACCAGGGGTAACAGTGGACATATGACTAAGTGTTACCAGGGGTAACAGTGGACATATGACTAACATTACCAGGGGTAACAGTGGACATATAACTAAGTGTTACCAGGGGTAACAGTGGACATATGACTAACATTACCAGGGGTAACAGTGGACATATAACTAAGTGTTACCAGGGGTAACAGTGGACATATGACTAACATTACCCAGGGGTAGTGTTACCAGGGGTAACAGTGGACATATGACTAAGTGTTACCAGGGGTAACAGTGGACATGTGACTAGTAACAGTGGACATATGACTAAGTGTTACCAGTAGTAACAGTGGACATGTGACTAAGTGTTACCAGGGGTAACAGTGGACATATGGCTAAGTGTTACCAGGGGTAACAGTGGACATATGACTAACATTACCAGGGGTACCAGTACTAAGTGTTACCAGGGGTAACAGTGGACATATGACTAAGTGTTACCAGGGGTAACAGTGGACATATGACTAACATTACCAGGGGTAACAGTGGACATATAACTAAGTGTTACCAGGGGTAACAGTGGACATATGACTACCCAAGTGTTACCAGGGGTAACAGTGGACATATGACTAACATTACCTGGGGTAACAGTGGACATATGACTAACATTACCAGGGGTAACGGTGGACATATGACTAAGTGTTACCAGGGGTAACAGTGGACATGTGACTAGTAACAGTGGACATAAGTGTTACCATAGTAACTGGACATGTGACTAAGTGTTACCAGGGGTAACAGTGGTGTGACAGTAACAGTGGACATATGACTAAGTGTTACCAGGGGTAACAGACATGTGACTAAGTGTTACCAGGGGTAACAGTGGACATATGACTAAGTGTTACCAGGGGTAACGGTGGACATATGACTAACATTACCAGGGGTACAGACATATACTAAGTGTTACCAGGGGTAACAGTGGACATATGACTAAGTGTTACCAGGGGTAACAGTGGACATATGACTGTTACCAGGGGTAACAGTGGACATATAACTAAGTGTTACCAGGGGTAACAGTGGACATATGACTAACATTACCAGGGGTAACAGTGGACATATGACTAAGTGTTACCAGGGGTAACAGTGGACCAGGGGTAACAGTGGACTAACTAAGTGTTACCAGAGGTAACGGTGGACATATGACTAAGTGTTACCAGGGGTAACAGTGGACATATGACTATGTGTTACCAGGGGTAACAGTGGACATGTGACTAAGTGTTACCAGGGGTAACAGTGGACATATGGCTAAGTGTTACCAGGGGTAACAGTGGACATATGACTAACATTACCAGGGGTACCAGTACTAAGTGTTACCAGGGGTAACAGTGGACATATGACTAAGTGTTACCAGGGGTAACAGTGGACATATGACTAAGTGTTACCAGGGGTAACAGTGGACATATGACTAAGTGTTACCAGGGGTAACAGTGGACATATGACTAACATTACTAACAGTGGACATATAACTAAGTGTTACCAGGGGTAACAGTGGACATATGACTAACATTACCAGGGGTAACAGTGGACATATAACTAAGTGTTACCAGGGGTACCAGTGGACATATGACTAAGTGTTACCAGGGGTAACAGTGTTACCAGGGGTAACAGTGGAAATATGACTAAGTGTTACCAGGGTAACAGTGGACATGTGACTAAGTGTTACCAGGGGTAACAGTGGACATATGGCTAAGTGTTACCAGGGGTAACAGTGGACATATGACTAACATTACCAGGGGTACC